TCGCATTTTATTAAAATTTCTTTAACATGCTGCCAATTAAATAGCTCGAGCTTCAATCAATCCAATATCTTCTAATCATAATTTTTAATGAAATAAGTATCCTCCATTATCTTCTTATAATTAAGGTTCTGTGTGTTTCGTTCTAGGTCACAATTTTCAAGTAGGTTGCGCACTTGACTGCTCTATCTTCACTTGCTTTTAATTTCAGCAGTTCTAATTTAGCTACAGTATAACTACTGCAACGTCTCACACCGTTTGCTGTATTCTAGATTTCGCTCGTTAACACCCTCTGTGACGTCAAACAACCTTTCGGCAACAGAAAATACAATAAATTAATTTTAATTTTCCCAATTTACCTCCATCACTTAAAAAGAAACTTGGGGACAGAGAAAAATTTTCTTCTTTATAAAATACGTTATGTAAAGACTTTTATTTTTGTCTTAGTCTGCGAGCAGGTCCTAAAGACGCACGTTTCTCCGCCCCTGAGATTTTAGACCTTCGGTTCCTTGATTGTTTCGCTACCTTCTCGTTACCGTTGCTTAACCCTCTGCGCCCTAACATAGGTAATCATATTTTCCATACTGTTCTCTGTACATTTACTAAGGTGCTGACAAGGAGAATTTGTTTAACAATCAAGAGTTTCTTTAGTTGATGATCATTTCCTATATCCTCGTGACATTAATGTGTGATACAGGGGTGATATTGTAAGGAGAAATTAGATGCTAGTCACCCTTAGGGGTTTAAGAGTTAAGTCCCTAATAACGGAGGACTAAAAGATGATTTTTACGGCAAAGAGTAAGTGAGCAAAAAGGGTAAAACTAAAGAATACAGATCCACTTATTTCCATCTTATCGAATCACATTACATCCTTTGGTGTTCTACCTCTTTCTCCGACGAGTCGAACCTCACCGGCCCTGCACTCCTTAGTTGCCCCGCAAAAAGTGAATTTCTTTCCGTCTGCTCTCAGCCATTTTCAGGAAAAAATAGCTCGTGAGCAAACCCTCATTATTAACGCTTCGTAGAGAGCGTCTCTTAGCCGCGAGAATGTATGAGACACCAGGGAACGCAAGTCGGCGAGAGGTCTGTAAGGGTTTAGTTCTGGATCCTTAGCTGTAAAAATTGTCCTTTTAATTCTCTTTAACAATGGTAAAAAGAGGGCGGCTAAAAAAAAAAAAAGAAAAAAGATTTAACAAACTGAATACTAGCTAAACACGTGCGCTTTCAAATTTCGTACAATTCCTGCATGGCCCGCCTATGCAGAATAACACCATGAAAATGCCGTAATTTGTGCAGTCTGGGGACGAGAATCCCAACAGCAAATGATTTTGCCACTCCGAATCCAAAAGTATACTATGGGGGGGGTGGGTCTAACGCCGTTAGCTGGAATGCAGTGAACGCATCGAACTTTTCGTAACAAAATAACGACGAAACGCCAGTTTCTAAATCCCGATTAATTTCGTCTGAAGTGGGCGTTGGAAATAGTCTGGTTGAAAATATTTTATAAAGGATGTAACAGACGACAGCCACCTTGGGCACCCCCCTTCCCCTCAAGTTGGATCGATAAACGCCTCTGCGCTAAATCTTTCCACAGCTAAGTTTGAGACAATTCAAGAAATTCAATCCAAAGTGTTTTTATAAAAGGCTTGGAATGAAGACTATACTGACAGAAACCAAGTCATTCACTTTCTGCAGTCATTCATTCATACAGTCACTCATTTGTTTATTTTTTTCCCTTTTTTCCTCTTTCATTTTAGCATTCATTGAGTTTATCAGACGGTCATTTGTTCAATCAGTCATTCACTCTCATTCGTTCGTTTCATTCATTCATTCTCTTACTCATTCATCCATTTTTTCATGCATTAATTTATGCTCTATTCCCGCTTTTCACCCATTTATTCACTTTGTTTCTCTTCTAGAAATCGCTTTCAGGTATTCTCACAACTATGAAGTTTGCGCTTGTTACTCTGGTTGCCTTGCTGTCAATCACCTGGGTTAGCTCCTCCTTCTTGCGATCCAAATTGAAGCTTGACGACTTTAAAGATGAAGAGCCATGGGTAACTTTTCCACATTAATACTTATTTGGTCGAGTTTCATTCTTGGAACATTTGCTTTTTCTCCTTTCCCTTTCATATGTAGACTTGATGTAATCAAAATAAGTTTCTTGTCCAGAACATCACTATAATGTCACCATAATGATGATGCATTTGACCCTTTAACTCCCATGACTGACCAAGACAGAATTTCTCCTTACAATGAGAGGAAGTAAGCCAAAAACGGAGCATTTATAAAACTTAAACAAAGAACATAGTATCGCACCTTGAGTAGACATCTATAAAAGTACAGTCGTATAGTTGACTTAATATGAAAATTGTCTACTTTCATTGTGCAACATGGCACTCCACTCTATCATAAACCCTTTACGCTTAAACATCAGTATGCATATTCTACAGACTTTCTCTGTACATTTCCTAATGTGCTGACAAGGAGAATTTGTTTAACAATCAAGAGTTTTTTTGGCGATCAATATCCCTCTTTTCTCATGATGTAACTGTTTGATTTAAGGGGCGATACTGTAGAGAAAAATTAGATGCTAGTCATTCTTAGGGATTAAAGTGTTAAAGATCAAAGTTTTGGTGATATTTAAACAATTTGGGAAGAAATTAATGAAAAAGAATCAACAGAGTCTGTTCAAAAGTCAAACGTGGCACGCTTGTAGTTTTTCTTTATTTCTGTTCAGTTAAAGATCACAGATGATCAATATAAATGAAACACCATCTTACGGCTCGAGTGCCTTTTTACGCTCTTAGTGCCACATTTGATGTCATAAGTAAAACTAAATCCGTTTGTCAAAAATTTTGATGAAGGACTGTTTTCTTGTAACAGTGACTTAAAAGAACCCCGCAACTTTTGTTTTAATGACCAAAGGGATCAAGATATTGTCATGATAAAGTCTTGTAGGAATACAAAAATACTGAAATTTAAACCAGGAAGCGAGTTTGACTGGTAACCCACTAAATTCCGAAAAGAAGTGCTTTTAGTTAAATATTATTTGACCATTTCATCTTTAGCTTGCAAAGCGTGAGCCTTGTCGGCCTGGATCGCACTGCGAACAAAGCTGCCTTACGTCCAGCCCTAATTTCTTGGGCATTGTGGGCACTTGTGAGAACGGAGGCATATGCTGCGCATACGGAGGTAAAAGACAAGAACTTTTATCCAAGAAAAAAAGACCAATATGAGCTCTCAGATTTTGTGAACCGTGAGGGACTGGGAAGAGGGGACTCACATGATCTTGAAGATGAAAATCACGAGTCATAGTTTTGTTTATTTCTCAAGGGAGTAGGATTCCCCGAGCAACTTCGCATTTTATGGATAACCTTTAACTGAAAAATGTAAAACAAATCGACATGCACTTGTTACAGAAATACCAGGTGGTCTCACTCATAGGTCAGGAGCTGAGGTCTCTCTCTAATGGCTCTTTTCTTTTCTCGTTTTCCTTTGCATTGTACCTTCTAAACCGAGAAACTGAGTAGAAGTCTGCTTCACTTTTGCACCAGATTATTTCATCTTCAACTTGCAATTAAATGCGCGGCTAAAGTATATTATCTCAAAATACAAAAAGATTGCCAGAGGCAACTGACATGCCATAAAGGAGCACTGGGATACCTTAGAATGGATAAGCATGAAAACGAATTGCATGCACAAATGAAGCACCTGAAAAATTGAAGCTATTTTTTTAGAGATGTTCAAAAGCTATCAATAGCCTTTTCTAGTGCGAATATAAAAAACAGATGACAATACAAAAATAAGAAATGATTTTATTAATCACCTGCCGACTGAAAGCGCGATTTGCATTTTTTTTTCCCAAAACATCACAATGGAAAAAAGGGTTCTTCTCTTCCAGTTTCTCGTTAACATCAGTTTGTATACGGTAGATCAGAACTGTTCGAGTTGAAATTCATTTTAAAGCTACTACAAATTATGTTTATTGTATGCAAACACTGTAGTTACTCACGCCCATGTTCTTCCCTTAGTTGCAGGCTGATGCAAGCCCTCATGGTGAGGAAAAGTTCCGGCAAATTCACAAAGGATTTAATTCCTAAAACCCAAATTATACTTTACATGGGTCGTAGAAACAGTTATAAGGGATGTTATTCCGGAAAATAAAAATGGCTTAAGGCGATTGTTCACCTTCTTCTCCTTCTATAAATTGTCCGACTATTTTTCATATTTACCTTTTTTTTTGGTTCATGAAAACAAAGACATAAGGATCGCTAAGACAACAAAAGTTTCTCTCCCCAAATTCGGATAGAAATCGAGCCAGTACACCTCTGTATCTCGAGAGATTCATTGACCTCGTCTCCGTTAGCCCCTTAACTCTTAAAGTGACCAGAAAGTAATTTCTCTTTACTATACCAAAACACTTTCGAGCAAGAACGATACGAGGAAAAAAAGAAAATATCGAAGGTGCATTTTTTTAATTTTTGCAACAAATTCTCAGCGTCAAATTATGACAGACAGTATGAAGAACTGATACTTAGTTCTTGGGAGTGAAACAGTCAGTACCGATAAAAAGCTATAAGTCGCAGCGAAAAGTTATTCCGTGAGATACGATAATTTTTTTTAACCCACGTTGCTGCCAGAGAATTTTGTGAGACTTTTTCAGGACCGACATCATTTATCAGCTGAAAGGGGGGAGGGGAGAGAGAGGGGCGTTTGTTGGAGCCAATCTTGGTTATGTCACGACAAAATTTACTGATCTCTCCATAAGACCCCGTAACATTCTCATGACCCTCCCCCCCTCATCATCGGTAGTCAATTTTATATAGTCCCCCCCTTAAACTCTGTTGGTGAAGACTGATCCCTTCCCGTTCCTCCTTTAAACCATGTGACCCTCCCCCCTAAAAATCCTCCGCACCCCGCTACCCTTGGCAATAAAAATTACTAGTCCCTTATTGCTCCTATTTGGAGCAGAGCAGTACAAATAAAAGGTTTGTGGCAGACACCTTTTGGTGTAAATTTATTGTTTCCTCGTTATCACAACCACATCTCGACCTAAAGTTACCTTGATATATCAATCAAGATGTTCTTTTTAAAACCGTTTTTCAAAAAAACTTTCCTTATAATGGCTTCACGAGTATAATTTTAACCACAGCCATTAAAAATAATCGGTTTTAATTCGACAAGCAACAATATTCCCAACTATTTTTTTGTGACCAGTGAACGCGAAAATTCGACTCCGATGATGCACGTGTCACACACTGAGCATTAAGTACAGTGTACCATGTTTGGTTGGTATCACTAACAAACCAGAAAAAAAGGCCAAGTATTTCTTTTCTTGACGTAAACCAGGAAACTGAGTCGAGAACAGGAAGGGCTTATGGACTGGTCATTACTTTTGTATAGTTAGGGGATTTTGGCCATGTCACAGTAAAATTTACCTGATCCCCTCATAAGGCTATGTGATATTCCAATGATCCCCTTTATTGGCAGTGAATTGGCTGTAAACTTTCTACAGTCTCTCCTTAAACTTCGTTAGCGACGTAGCTACGACTGCTTCCCCCCTGTTCCCCCTTGAAAACTATGTGATCCCCTCAAAATCAACCACTTCCCCCCGTGAGATAAACAGTGAATGATCCCTTACTGGTAAAAAGCTAAGAAAAATTAGTGTTCAAAGACAAATCGCGTGTGATGGAATAAATTTTCGTCGCTTAGCGTCAAAAGTTTCGGGTAGGTACCTATAAAAGAAAGAATACCACGCAATTGAAACTGTAAAACAACGAAAGAAAGTTCGCTCTATTTTTTTATGTTTATCTTTTTCAGCGGGTTGTAAACCCGTCCTAATGAACACTCGACCCAGTTTCCCTGCTTCACGTTCAGGCATAGAGAACATGGCTTGCTCCTTTATGCCTTAATATTCGACAAGGTGTTGTTGTGCATGCGTTGCCACTTTTTAGTTCACTGAGAGCACTGCCAAGATCCTCCGCTGACCAATAAAGCTCATTCTCGCATGCTGAACGGCAAGATTATCAACGACTAAAACGTCGCCATTTTGCCAACGGAAACCGACAGCGCACGACCAAGTAACGGCTCTAATGTGCTGAAGAACTGCGGGCTCAACTTCGCTTCCATCACCATAGTAGGTCTGGTAGGCATACTGATGACTTGGTAGATTATAGTCTTTAAACCTGAAAACAGGGGAACTATTTTTAAAAAAAGAAAGAAAAGGGTTCAAAAACAAACCAAATGACTGTCCGGCTTAAAATGTCGGCTTTCTCTTAGAGGGTTCACCATGAATTTCTTGTCTCACAACGTAATAGTTTCCAATCCTTAACCGTGAACGGTAGATATGTACTTGGCATATTTTCCCATAGACAGTACAAAAAAATAGAACCCTGACGAACGTTGAGGAATCACCATTTTCTTCAGTTACTGCGACTTCTCTTTGATCATTCAAATCTCTGTTTTCATTTCCGCAAACGGCAAAGAACATTGCAATATAAAGGATACAAAGATGGTATCACAGGTGCACAGCATTACCAACCTTGGCATTTCTTGCAAGTGTGAAGTATGATGGGATTGAATCTGGTTAAACCAAACTGTCTCCCCAGTCTCCGGGTGTTTGAGCAAGGCGGGTAACACTTGCCAGTAAACCAGTGCTCCAGAAGGCTCCCACTTATAACTAAAACCATTTTGCTGTAAGAAACGTTCAGCAGTCTGGAAATAAAATGAAAAAGAACTTCTGTGTTAATTCTTAAATCTAGCGTCGCCTCTAGTTTATAAAAGCTATTGCAACTCGTTACAAACCTTCGTGTCCTCAGTCATAAAAACATCTTGCCATGGAAGGTAGGCACCAGGCCCTCGTGAAGGAGCATAACGAACATAGCGTACTCCCTTTTTGTCGAAACTTTGGACAATTTTCGGGTCCAAGCGTGAAAGTATATCACTACTTCTTACGAGCGGTGTCTCTCCTCCACAATCCTTTCCTGGCTCTTGTTGGCAAAAGAACAAAAGCTGCGAAAATATAAAAAAGACAACAGTTAGTGTGAAGACGCATGAGACAAGAACTCAAACAGTGTATCAATCTGACGGTTGTACATAGCTTATTTTAATTTCTGAAACTAGAAGCGATTAGGGCTGTAACATGATTTTTCCTGCATCCAAATGGAATTCTACATCTCTCTCGCACTTTTGCTCCCCTGCATTCATAATAACTGCGATAGAGAATTGCTGTGAAATATCACGATGCGAGATGATGCTACACAAATCGAGTTTCTTGATAATCGCCTGTTTTGACTGGTTGCCTGATTATCGTCTTTTCTATGATGGATCGTGTAGAGTGCTTTATTACGAATTTTTTTAAACTCGTTTAGCTTTGACTGATTATTCCGAAATCCTTGTGTGGGTCTTGTGCACGAGACTGTGCAAGACCAAAAACGAAGCTTAACTTTTGAGTAGCTTGTAATTCTACTTTCTCGAACTATAACTTCCGTCAGCGATCATGCTTGGGTTTGTCTACTGACCCTGGTTAGGACCAACGACAGAGTTCCTGTTTTGGTTGTTGTGTTCGGAGATCGGCCTTGTGTTTGATAAAAATATCACGTGCCTTAAGTTTGAATCCGACAAAAAATTGATCCAAATTAAAAGAAATTCTGACAATCAGTACTAGGACTAAAATGAGATGGGACTATTCCAACTAAAGTCTTGGCAAACACCTAGATTTAATCAAAGGTGTTACATCATATTCGGTCCAATATGAAAAAAGAGTTACCTTAGCAGGGTACACTGGACTATATGCCATCTCATTATGAAACTCAATGATAGCTTCCGGCGGCTCATCACTTGCTGTATATGTCCCAGAGTTCTTATCGAGTTCTTGACGTTCCACAGCACCACCTTCATAAGCCATTCCCTTGTAGCCGAGCCCTTGAGTCAGATTAGAGAAGTCAGCGGCTGTCTTAAGTGGGAGGTTTCGAATCAAAACAGCGCCGTTGTGAGGCAGATTTTCCTGTAGATACCCCCGGCAACTGGTGACACAGTCTTCCATGGATTCGAGGCCTGAATGTTCGATTTTTATCGCGTGCGGAAATGTATCTGTGGGGGCAGATAACGCTTCGGGGAATCCATCCCCGGTAGAACCCGGCAAAAATTTCTTGCCCGCTAATCTGGGCGGCGTGGAAGGTTGAATTTCTACTGGTGTTAACGCTGTAATTCTTGGTCCAACATGATTAGATTCTTGTGCTTTCGTTGTCAGGGGACATGTTGATGAAGTGCTCAGAGGCGCTAAGGGAAGTTTGAACCTTCGAAGTGATCTCAGCAGCATCTCTTTTAAGAAGCGTTGATAACTGTACGTTTCTACAATAACAAATTTCATCAACTGAAATGAATGTGTACTTACCATGGGGATCAAATATTATTTCAATCACACCGTACAGAGGATTCTTGAAAAAGTTCTCTTTTTGAAATTTGATTACCAACTACCGTATAACTGTAAAGATAATTTTTGAATTTCTTTTCTGAGCCTCCAGAGTTCGGTGTCAGCGCTAAAAAGCTCGACAAAGAAACGAAATTTAAAAAAATAATGTCACGTACGGCGTGACAGGAGTTGTCTTTCAATATCTCGCTGCCATAGAAGGCTTGAAAGAGGGTTGATACGCAGCATGAAAATCCAACTGAATTAGATTAATCTGGCTGTTTTTCATCATAGGAAACAAGCATCCTTGAAGAAGTTAAACAGATAATGATTGCTCAACATCAATTAAATGAGCGTTTATGGAGATTTATGGTCTCAACAAATTAATTTTTTGTGGTTTTCTTTACGTCGAAGGTAATTTAACATGTCGAAGAGACGGACTGAACATTTCTTGGCCAAGCCACCATGTTTCTTTTGATCATTCGCTTTATAGTACATCGCATGTTCTACAAAATGATTACGATTGGTGAAGTTACATATAAGAGAGAGGATTGTGAGATTCATTTATAGAAGTGAAAATTGCTGGCTGGAACAAGTTTGACCTCAGTTGCAATTACCTCTGTATCACTTGATCAGAAATTCCACTTCAGATTTGTTTCTTGTTAGATGGCCGTGATTTACTTTTCAGATTTTCACAGAACATTAAAAAAAGCGATCTCTGGATTAGAGAATAGCTTCCTGGTTTAGTGTAAACAATCTGTTACCTAACTGACCCCTGATACGACAATTTATCTTAAATTGTTATCTTAGATGAAATCTCATCGTTTCCTTAAGCTCATTCTTGGCATGCTAAAAGTTCCGGCGATTAAACGAAGCAGCCACTCGTAACAGCGATAATTTGAGCCATTTTTGAGGTTGGATAACCGACATTTCCGACTCAGACAAAGGGTACGACCTTTCTTGTGAAAATAAGTTGTTTGCACGATAGTTAAAAATAATTTCAATTCACTTGAAACGCCCTTTTTGCGATGGGTTATTGCATCTCGAAGGTGGACTACTGGATTCACAAGTGGGATTCTTTGAAAGGCGAATGCAACGGCAATATTTGGACGTATTTAACGAATAGATTCCAAGTTGCCGTGCGTCTGTCCAGTAATAGATCACAGATGACGTCAAAATGTGGTAAGAACAAAAAAGAGGCACACGAGGTCACTGATTGTCTTACCACATATATATAGATAGATAGATATATATATATATCTGTTTATATCATGCATTCAACACACTATCTCTATTCTGATTGGCCGAAAGCATACAGTGTATTTTCGAAATCAGCCCTCGGGACGTCATCTACCAGCAGATTATACAATAATCACGTTAAGGACACTCAAGGTCACGAATAATCATGTCATGTATGACCGCGATTTCTGACGGTAATCATGTCAAATTCGCGCACGTTTTGTGTTGCTCGCTGATTTTTAAATTTTAACACGTTTAAAAATAAATTATCAGTTCCCCTTACTATCGTGACCATTTTTTTTTCGGTCAATGTGTAATAAAACAATTATTAGATTCGGTTTTTGTGATATCCAGAATAATCAAGGTCTCGGTAACATTATCACTAGCCTCAGCCTTTGGCTTCGGCTGATAAACCCTTCCTCGACTTTGATTATTCTGGATATCACAAAAATCTCATCCAAAAATTGTTTTACAATTCTTATTTATCTACTTTTTCGCTCTTTATGGTATGCAACATCACGTTGTTTACAATTCTAACATAATTAGGCCAATAGAACTTGAGCAAACTTATTAGAGCTTTGACAACTATCTCCCTTTTTATAATATAATGTAAATTTTATATGACATTAGGCATCCAGATGGGATATAAATTATTTCATAGTAATATAATTGTCTACAGGAGCCAATGTGGGCTCCTGTCATATATAAAAAGAACAATGATTATTACAAACATATTAATTGATAAAAGAACTATGATCATTTTTATCATCATTAATTTTGAGGTTCAATTTTAGATAATTGATGCTGAATATATGTTTATGAAGATTTTTTGAATTTGCTACAAAATTTTGATTCCTTCAAATCCACTGGTGAATTATCATACTTCTGCTCCATGATACTTAACCAGGAATTTTCCATAGTTTTTCATACTATAACTAATATGTGCATTTGATGTAGATCGAGTATTACAAGAATGAATATTGTAATTTGTTTTAAGGAAATCTTTGTAAAACTTCAGTAGTTTATCATGGGAGTACAAGTACAATAATATTGGTGTGCAACATATGCTAAGTTCATAGACTGTTTAATTTACCTAGGGTAATAAATAGAGGTCTACTTTCTTGCTTATAAGCAGAGAATTAGGTCATTACTCTGATTATTTTCTTTTATTTAAAACATATAGGTCTTAATATAGTGGGAAAAGTGTTTGTTCATTTGTGATTAAAATAAATTAAATAGGGATACATCATGGTGTAATGTATATTTTGGAAAGATTTTAGGGGTGGAAAGTGTCTTGTCTCAGAAATTATTCCTGTTAGTTTTGATATTTTCATTGTTATTTGATTTATATGGTATTTCCAAGATAGCTCTTTATCTAAAAACAAACCTATAAATTTTGAGTATTTAACTTGCTCAATTTCTTGCCCATTATCGAAATTTTAATTTTTTTAATTACCATCTTATTTTTTTAGGCCTGAAAATCATGTATTGGGTTTTCTCAACATTGAGTGAAAGTTTGTTTGCTGCCCACCAAGTTGTAACTTTATAGAGGTCAAGGTTCAAAACATCTTATAACTTGTCAATAACTTAGGAACAGATTTGTATCATCAGCAAAGAGAGGAAATGATAATATTTTTTAATATTTTGATATGTCATTTATATGCAACTGAAATAGGAGAGGTCCTAGAGCTGACCCTTGAGATAGACCACAAGAGAATAGTAAACTGTCTGATCTTGCTGTTTTACATTTAACCATTTGCCTTCTGTCTTGCAGGTGATTTTTAAACCAATCGAGGGCAACCTCTCTTATTCCATAATTTTCTAGTTTATATTTCATTTAAATTGTGTTAGTTGGTTTTTCGATAAGCTTTTTACATGGCCTATATTTAACTTTCCTTGATTTTAGAATTCCTTCTGTCACCCAAGGTGTGCCAGCCTCTTTACAGTTTTTCACCTATTATTGGTATATTTTCATCAAATTTTTCTCAGAAACAACTGTGGGCCTCGTGGGGATCTGCCTTTTCACAAATATTTTCCCAATCTTCATTTTTTAAATCCAGACAACGTTTGTTGATAGCTTCTTTGATTTCTTTACTATGTAGAAAACCTCGAAATGGACAACTCGCTAAAATGGGTTCTTTTCATCAAAGTAAGCGGTCAGATAACAAGTGATACGCTGTGGAAGTAAGGTGAGGTATTTTTGATGAGAATTTGACATTTTTTTTTCTTCCTTAGAGCGGTCGTGAATATTCCCATACAAACTCTTATAATTCTGCCATGACTGTTATTGCCCAAGATGATCATCTCACAGCTGGAGCTTGGGCCGACTGTGCGTCAACTAACATTTCAAATTACTTTTGCGCTCTATGGCCTACACGACACATTGAGTTATTCACGAACGTAATGGAGATTTCGCAAAGTTCACTAGGCAGATTTTGCAAATCATTTGCATATTTCCATTTCGCAAATTACAGATTTTCAATTCGTTTCGTTTCGTTTCGCAAATCACAGTACCCCAAAATAATAATGGAAACCTTTGATTCATAAAGTTATTAGCATGTTTGTTCTCGTCAATTTTTACCAAATCAATTTTGAAATCCCCCAGGAAATAACATTTTTTGTTTAATAATTCGCTATTCCTCGATCAAAAATTCTGCAAATGCTTCAGATGATCTGTTTACAATTGTCATTTGGAGGTTTACTTATTATTCCTAAATCATAAACGATAAATTAAGCTATTGTTTAAAAAAAAAAAAACCTGTTTGCGATTTCAGCCGTGACAAATTAGCATTTTGCGTTTTTACTATTGCTCCAAACTGTACGATTATTGAGGATTCTAGTGCGGGTCCCAAGTGTATTTGGATTAAGTGCCCGGGAAGAGACTTCGAAAAGGCGACATTAGTGGAGTATCTACTGTTCCCATCGAAATTCGTACGACGTGTTCACCCAAAATTTCCTAACTCGTTCGAGACTGCAGTCGATGATAAGGACGTGGTCACGCACTCGGAGTGCTGTTATGCTGCGTGACAAACCCAGGCGAGAATTTAATGGCCGTATAACGCGAACAAGGCATAACTTATGGGCGGAAGAGTACACTGGATCGATTGACAATTTTTAAAAGATGGATACGTGAAATTCAGTTTAACTCTTTTGGTAACCTTGGATGTTCTATATCCATTCCTAAATTCGTTAAAGAGGGAAATTAGTTTGCATAAGAGTCACACGTCATTATGTCAAGCCTCCCATGGAGAGCAGTTGTTCGCATATGATCTTTCCACGACTGAGAGAAAAAAAACTCTTTCCCGCTCTCTAACGGGCCCTAAACTTCAGGATAGCGACCGACCCCTGGACGCTCCTGAATATCTCCGCTGCGCTTGAAATTTTCAAACACCGAATGTTGAATTTCTTTCAATAAAAATAATTGAAAACAAACATGGTTGTCATGTAGGCCGAGAAAATCCCAAGACACCGAGCCAGATAATTGCTGGTCAAATCAATAAATTTATACTTTTCCCATCTTCAGGTGTCTATGAGAACTATCGTTAATGTTTAGCCACTGGTGTCTCTCGGGCACCATTTTTCTACTTTTAAGACATAATCTGTCGCTAAATTATTCACCTTCCACATACTTCACATTTCAAACCTTTATAATTTTGTCCTTACCAAACCATTTGTTCGCAATTGATAGGCATACTAACCTTTTTTTTAGCCAGGCAAACTCTGCTTGAGACAGCAGCTTCGCTGTGAAGAAACGACGAGCCTGTTCGCGCAGCTCACAATTGCAGCTCTGAGATAACAATGCTATTTTAAGACCAAAGAAAATTTTGCATTTAATTGCATATGCATGTAATCGAGGTGAGACCTGATTATGTAATATAAGATGCTAGGTGAGACCTCAAATTGTTTGCATGCATGCAGTTCGACAAAGGCTGTGCCGTATTCCCACCTTTTCTAGAGCTTTTTTTCTATGAAAGGAACAGAAAGCAGGGGCCAGGCTTTTCTTTTTAAACGGGAAACAACGACTCCTGCCTGCTCTTTTCGCATCGTATCTCGCCTCAACCCTACTTCGACGATGCCACAGTCACGCAATGGTCACGACAACAAGACTTGACTCATCAAGATAACAGACCAGCAGCATTTCTGGTTGCATTTTACAATGAACAAAAAAAGAGCGGCAACATACACTCCAACCCGTCCAAAGGATCAAACATAAAACCAATTCGTCGATAACCAGACTGAAAAAGAAAATCATCATGTATCTTTTGAAAGATTTCAAACCCATGCGTTGAAGAACACATAGAGACTTCTAAAAATATCATGCATCACCTCTAAAAATGTTCATTGTAGAGGCCATATTTTAACTAATTTACAGAAATAACGATACAGGAGTAAACTCATAATCTCTGGTGAGCTGTGATCCAAATGAAACGGCATTAGTCATTGTAAGTACTCCAGGTCTTAGTCGCTAATCGAATGAATATCAGAGATATATGACAAAAGTTCTTTGTGCTCTTTGGGAGGCATGCATCAGGAAATTCTTACATAATATTTCTTTCTTTATACCAAAGGATTTAAAATTGAACAAAATCTACATTCCATGGTCTAGTCAAACCAACAAAATAAACTTTTCGTCGTAAGAAATTCACTGTTTCTACGTAAATTAAGGCTCAAATTCTCAGCTTCTTCTCCAGGTAAATAAAAACACTTGTTGCCTAGTTCATAATTCTAACTCCGCCATGCGGCTGTATTCCGCCGTGAAGGATCGGCGCCAGTCTGCTTTTCTCTCTATTCGATTATCTTGAGCCTACGTATCTTTCTGATCAGCAGCCCCACTTCTTGCCTTAGCTTGACGTTGTTTAAGTCGCTCCCTCCAATCTCCTTTGATCTCTTCAAAGTTAGGATTGTAAGCTGCCTGACCACTAAAAGATAATCGAATATTACGTGAGAGCACGTTTTGATTGATTGACTGATTGATGGAATACTCTCTGAAAATATCAGATCGAAAAGTTAAAATGAGCATTCTTTGCGGGTTGGACCATAGTCTGTATCCCCTCTAAAGCCGTGTTTCAAAGGAGCACTCCTACAGCTGGTCCCTGAGCACAGATGCTTCTCAGAAGGAGAGAATTTACTTCAAATCCTCAAATATATCATCACCGGCGTGTTTATAGAAAAGCGATACCTACCTTGATAGATGTTCTCTCTTCCACTCCTCTATTTGTCGAGAGGGATCGATTCGTTCTTCTTCGTCCTCACTGCTATCTAATGTTGGTTCTTCTTGTTGCTTTATACTCTGCCATTTCTGAACCAGAGTGGAAACTTTCCGTGCCTTGGACGATAATAGCGATGTACCAACCTTGGAGCTCTAAGATGAGGACAAAATTTTTTTTTGAACGAATGGCTTCCATACTTTTTATTAAACTGGTACCAAGTAACATAACAATATTTCAACGAAATAAGCCTAATGACTTTTCAAAATCCCTTAAAGAAGTTAGATACATTGGACATGAAGACACAAGGAGCAAGGACATCCGTTCGTGTAAAATGGATTGGAAAAAAGCTCACACCTGAGGGGCAATGCTCAACGACAGGTATGTTTTCATAATTGGTTCAAGTTATGGCATTGAAAGAAAGCGTCATTTTGTTCCTAAGTCGCTCGAAAGACATCACATAATGAGGATAAAGTTATGAATCGTGAACAAACATTTTTTTACTGTGAAACCCAGTGAACTGGGTTAGACAAAAGCTAACGAGGCATAAGAAAAGTATACAGCAAATAGCAACGGTAAATAGCCTACGATTACGCGCTTTTCCTGCATCTCCTGAAATTCATTTTGATTTTTCAATACACACATTCAAAGTGTGAGCGATTTTCCAAGTCTCACTGCGGGTGAAGGAGAAAGTCGTGCAGGAACTTGAAACTTTCGCAACAACGTGCGGTCAATAAATCCCCATTATTCGCTAATGTTAGCCGACTTTTGTCATTAGATTAAACTCCGAAAGGTTTTTTTCGTAAAATCGTAAAAAAAACTCACTTTTTTCTTCTTTTTCACTTTAGGTTTAGCCGTCAAACTTGTGGGTGTGGACACAACAGCAGCTGCAATTCCCTGTAAGAAAAAAAAAAACCACGTTTAAGAACACAGCCCATCTTCTAATGCAAGAAAAGAACTACGAAATATAAGCAGCACTATCTTTAGTTCAATCTTTCTCATTCAAATCATGCAAACCTGAGGTGGCGCCGAAAACTGGGTCCCACTGCTTTCAGCCGCAGCCACGGGCTCAATAGGCAGAGGGGGACTCGCGCTAGAGGCTTCCAAATCAGAATAGTCAACAATGGATCGAGGAAGCGACCGAGACTTTGCGACGGCGGTTGCAACCGTCGGCTGTCCACTGATGAAAGGCGACGCGACTCTAGTCACCGTAGTCGACACAGTTGTTGGCATTTCTTCTCCGGGAGGAGGGGGTGGAACTTCTGCAGGCTCTGGAGGTGGTGGTGGGGGTGTACAAGAATCTACCGGAGGGAGAGGTGGAAGATCATCCGTTCCTGTACCAAAATACCAACATAAAAAGTGAAACTAAGGCAAGGGTTTGTAAAACACTGAATGCAGCAGTTCTGTCACTAACTCATTTACCTAAAATCTTCCTTTTGACACTGTTATTCGTTAAATTTTTTCGGGAACCCTATCTACATCCAACCAGAACGGAAACCACGAGATTAAGGGCAGAGGCATAACATGACTGATAGACGGAACGAAGAGAGCTCTATCTAATACCTTGCCTCATTCCCAACCTAATGCAAAAAGAAACTGATTTCTGAAAGGACTAAACTCAGCGGATACTGAGCACGCTCTCGTAGCTCAAAAAGCTACCGTGAAATGATTTTTTTTTCTCCTCATTTTTTTCAGTTCCAAAAGTACATTTCGGAAAACAAGAAAGGAGAATCAAGAGCGTACAAAAATACGAACCTGGGGGAGGGGGAGGTGATTCTTCCGCTTCGTCTGGATACGAGGCAGTGAGGGTAACAGCTTTGAATCCATGATCTGTTCCAGGGACAGGAGGATTTGCAAGGGAATCTGATTGAAAGAAGGAATTTTTGTTGTTTAAATAGAATAAGAAAGATGGTAAATTTTTAACTCGGTCATCGAAAACTGACAGTTGTGTCACAAGTATGGAAACAAAGAAAACGAAATACCTGCTGTAACCGATGACGATACCACTGGTACGGTGGGCATTACAACAGACATTACGGGCGCTTGCACCATGGGAACGTAAGCTGTGGTAAACAGAATGATTTTATGTCAGATGGTGGTCCCACTAACCGTAAGAAGCAATATTTGGCGGTAAGAACAAAAACATCTACTCTGCGCACACCTAGAAGCGACTTTGGCATACAATTTGCCTCAGCACATCAAGAAGAGTTACATTTTACCTGAATAGTTCCACATCGGCACACTTGTCTGAGAACTCGACACTGCAGCAGTTGAGCTTTGGCTGGATGTCTCTACAGCAGATGTGTCCTCCTTCACATCTGACTCTGTCTCGTCTGAGGGGTATTCCCACTGAGAATCACCTGTTACTCTATTCGTGTAGTAATAGCGCTTGTGTGTTCTGTCGAAATGAAACAGAGGAAAGGAGAACGGAAGAATGAGACACCCGCGAACAGGGACAGTAGATGCCTTCAGGCTATAAACAGAGAGAACTGATTTTGAGTGAGAGGCAATCCAAGACAATGGCGTGATTTCCCAACTCCTCTAAGCTTTTATTTCAAACTTTCTCCCTTTTGAATTCAACTGGCATATAACTGTGATATAAATACCGCAAGGATAGCCTCTGTCACAAAAAAACAGTGCTCTAATTAAGCGCCTTAGTAAAAGATTCTTGAACTGACGCTCTCTCTGTGGCAAGAATCTATCACCAAAAACGCACATAATAGTGTCAAATTAAAACAACCATACTTATCTCTCGAGTAATAAGGAGTACAAGGTGTTTAAACATACAGTTTCACTAACCTCGTTCATATCCTACTTTGTTTCTTGCCTTGTGTTGTTGGTATTGCTGTGGCAGAAGCTATCTTCAGAAAAGTGTGTTCGAATCCGGTTACTGGCCAGCTGTGCCACAGGACAACCAGTCCACGATACGCAACCACAAAGCCGATTTCATAACATACACTTTGATATAACACATATACGTCACACAAATGAAGACAAACATGAACACTCCAAACTTTCAACACAATCAGCAGTTGCACCGACACAAGACTGAGATTGGGTAGTTTTTCTTAAAAACTATTTCGCTGATGACGATTTCATCATCAACAAAACCAAATTTTGATCCTTTTGAACGAAATACATGCGACACACATCAAATAATTCCGTTTGAAAAGTTGGCACGATACACTTTTAGGAAAAGAAACCGTCAGAAAATAGATCAGGTGAAAAAAAAAAACCGCCAGTTTTCACGGTAACATGGATAATTTGATTTAGTCCATAAATATCAATACTACCAGAGATAGCAGTCATACTTTTAAAATACAACACAGAAACTGAACATTTTCCGAAAAAGAATAAAAAACGAGAAAAAAAGAATTAAAATTTGTCTTTTGAGGTCCTTTGACAACTAATTTTTAACGATAAATCCTACAGTTCTTATCAGAGAACTGCTACAATGTTGCTACAATGTAATTTTAGCAAAATTTTTAAGAATTTTGTGCCTTTCTTAGCATACTAAACCAAGCTGTCACTCATTATGTCTTTAGTGATATCATATTGTACGTAAAATGACTTCTTTCTCTGAACTCTGACAGCAGTAAAGATTAATTTCAACCTTAAAGCTCACTTTTTGGTATTTGCAAACAAGTTATATCTATATGAACCAAGGACAACAATTACCAAGCACACTTAAATTTACTGCACATTCACAAAAAGCACAAAAACGACAGTACTTAAACATGAAACTTGACAAATACACTCACAGTTTGATGAAAACAAGAGCATGTGGATCACACAGCATGGAAGGATGACAAAACTAGATTCTGATATTTTTCTGAACATAACGTTCTTGGATGTTGACTCAGAAGAATCCAACATGATACAACATTGAGCGATATCTATCACAGTCTCTAGCTGAGCACAGTTCATTAGGAATCCAGGCCTGTCCCTCCAGACAGGCCACAAATACCCCCCTGGCAAAACACAAGACTGATACAGTACCTGTCCCAGTGGCACGACCAGCCAGGGGGGGCAGCAGACTCCTCATACTGCTTGAGCTGTGTGTCAGCCTCACAGAGCTTGAGGACCAAGTGACGACTATCCAGAGCTCCTTCTCGCCAATCACTGATTCTTGTCTGAATAGATAAAAATAAAAAGTTTAAACATTGAGTGCTGCAGAGCAATTTTTTGTGTCAGAGAAGGCAGAGAAACGTGTATAGGAAGAGATAATGATGAGAGCCTGCAAACCTCTCCTCAACTAGTCTCCAATCTTCCCTTAGGCAGAGAAACGTGTATAGGAAGAGATAATGATGAAAGCCTGCTCAAAGTGGGACGGTAACACAACAGACCTTATATCAAAGGTCTTACTACCTCTTGAGTTCTCACATGATTTACCAAGTTATTTTCTTGGATAACGCTCTTCAAACCCTTAGGGTGAGAGGTGGGGGGAGGTAATGTACCTTAAACTAGCAACTTCGCTAAGAGTAGCAGGTAGAAGACACATTCCAAAGTCATTAAACATTTGATAGAAACATGAAAGCCCTGTAACACGCATCCAAAGGCTTGACACTTAGAAGCAATGTGACGCCCATCTATATGTACACTAGGTTCAGCCCATTTTCAATTTAAATTCTGGTGCATTACACATATATTTTTGTATAAGCCAGGCAGAAAACTGAAGTACATCTATGATACACATGCCAATAAGAAAGCAATCAAGTACCATGTGTATTACCAGTTATCTTATTTTAAGAGTTGATCTAAATCACTGATCTGAAGAGATACTCTTACCTCCATTTCAATGAGCAAAATCTTTAAGTTTGACACACCCTGACGAGAGACCTCCAAAAAATCCAGCTTGTTGCAGAGTACAGAAGCCAATTCCAAGATCTGTGACTAAAATAAAAGCAGACCATGGATTACTAAAAGCAAAACTAGCATGGTGTGGCTTAACAAAATAGTACAGCAGGTATGGCTGGTTTTTACCAGTAGACACACATTTTCAAAAAATCTCTTACCCTTTGATCCTCCTCTGCTTTATCGTACATCTTCTTCTTTTCATTGGCAGCTTTTCAAATAGAGGAAAATTGGCAATAGAGACATTAGAATATTGTTCAGTTGAGTGTAAAAAGTAGTATGTGATAGCACTGGTTTTGGTATATTTGCTGTTATTGGTCCAAAAAAGTTTCACCTCTTTCTCAACCAATTGGATTTCAAAATAAGAACCAAACATAACGTGGTACAATGTGCCTTCCATTTTTACAATGAACTCTCATTGGCTTCTGAAGACACTTGTCTTTGCTCTGATTGGTTTTTGCAATTATTATGGTTTCAGTTACACAACAGAAGCCGAAATGTCCTCAATTTGGAAAGTGCTGAAGGTAGCAACAATACAGCTGAGGAGCAGAGATACTACCTGGGTAGAAGCATTCACTTCTCACCACTGTGACCCAGGTTTGATTCTCAAACCAAGTCTTGCATATGGGTAGACAAAAATGTTTATATTGGTTTCCTTTAAATTCCTAAGGTCCCTCTACAAAAAAAAAAACTTTAATGATAGGAGAATTGTATAGAAGCAAGTTGATTGATTTTTGTTACACCCTACCTGTCTGTGATTTTTCTCCCTTCTTGTCCTCAGTAGGGGCAGCTTTTAGATGCTCAAACACCTCAGGTGGCAACAGTGGTTTCTCTTCTTTATCTTCACTCCCTATCTTTGCTTCCTCATCTGACATGTCCATGCTTTCTTCAACTAGAGTGTCTTGTTTTCCTTTGTCATAGGTGTCTAGGTACAATAATACAATTGAGTAATTAATTATTGAAAGCAGGAAGACTTACACAAACCTAGAATTACAATGGACATTTATCTACTGATCACTTCTAGGGGTCAGAAGATCAATCCTTCTGCTCCCTGGAATGACCGAAAAAGGAAGTTATCCTTGCAATATAAATGTAGATTTATTTTCCAGCATGTAGCTGATGACAAGAAGAGAAAATGGCAACAAGTGGACATCCTTTGATTTAAGACCACAAAAGGATCTTAGGAATCAAAGGATCAGTACATTGCCCTTACCAATCCAATCTGCAATCATTTTGGTTGACATGCCATGATTAAAAAAAATTTTGGAAACTTTTGAAAAACCTTGAGTTTGAAGCACCAGCCCCATTATTCTCACCAAATGTGTTAAAACCCATCTATGGTCAAATTTTCCAGTTTAACTATGGAATTATAACACTCTCTAACCTTCCAGCAGCTGAACAGCAAAGTCATCATCAGAGTCGTCTTCAGCTGCTTGCTCAAGCTTCAGTTTTTTTGCTGGGACTTCCTCCTCATCATCATCAACATCATCATCATTATCATCAACCATTTTATCAGACTTCAACACTGCTGAGTTCTCTTCTTCTTTTGGTTCATTTGAGTCATTATCTTGATCATCCCAAGAATCCACCACTTGAAAGCTGACAGGATCCTCGTCACTGTTCTCTTTGGAGTTTTCTTCCTTACTGTCAGGTTCAGATCCATCTTCTGATGGTGTTTCTTGATTCTCTGTAACAGAAAGGGAAGGAGAGAAATAAATACACAAATAATAATTGTCTGTGATGAAAAAGAGGGGTGCCAAAGGAGATATGAAGGGGCACTTTGGTGGGCATTAGTCTCAATTCATCTTTCTTACCACTATCACACTATTAATCCTTGAAACTTGACCTTTGTTGACAAACTCCTAGTTAAAAACCTCCTACCGCAAAAACCCATGGATAAGCCGCACCTGCAGATAAGCTGCACCCTGAATTTAGCAGCTCAAATTTTGAAAAAAATTTTTTTGAAAGAAATCAAAAGAAATCCAAAGTCAAGTCTTGAGAAGACTTCTTCATCCACTGTTCATCGAACGTAAACTCACTATTACCATTCCAACAGAAAATACTTCAAAGTTTTACCCACAATTTTAGTACTTCAATGAACCTCATTTCTACCAACTTTGACGCATGATTGATCTTTTTCTGGTATTTGTTGACAGGAATTTCTTCATTCAACACAGTTTTTCCAAAGATTTTTGCATTACAACAAGAACATGAGTGGACCATTCGAAGATTAGTAACCAGGCATTAGATCGGACATGAAATGGACATTGGCGTCGACATTCACGATACCTTTTTCAAATGTTCCTGCAGATTAGCCGCACCACCAATTTCTAGCGATGATTTTTGCAAAACAGGTGAAGCTTATCTGTGGGTTTTTATGGTATTTTGAATTTGGTTTCCACACCATTTTCCTTTTCAGTTAATCCATACTTGACCCCTTAACTCCTAAGATCCAGTTATTCTCCTTACTTACTGCCACACTTTCCCTTGTAAATTCTACAACAACACCCACAAGCTGATAAGCTGGTTTTTTTCTCTGTTTAAAAGATAACAAGATGGCAAAGCAAGATGTTGCATGTTAATCACCCCTGGGAGTTAAAGGGTAACTATCAGAGACTTATTGGCAATTTAAGAGTTGGTTTTGGTCACTTTGACAGCGGCTGTCAGCACTCCCAAAGGAGGCTACTGGAAGAGCTTACTGGTTATTTTTTGTGGAGCATCTAAAGCTGTAAGTTATCATAGTGGGACAGAGTGTTGTTGAACTGGAGATTAATGCCACCCCTGGGTTTGTTCTCCAGGCAGGATTACTCTGGCTGGACAGTTTGGAAGCTCATGCTCTCCAGATTAGAGGTTGGGTGTGTGGGTGTGTGGGTGTGTGGGTGTAACATCTACCTCCTATAAAACAGAGCCATGCTTAAAACTTGAACTTCAAAGATCTAATTGTTAATTCTTCTCTCTAGTTCCAGCACATTTCCTCATAAATTAGTTAAGAGAATTTGGTGTTAGGTCAAGATAACAACTTCTACCTGATAAGTTTGAGTATTCTCATTAACTGTTTCCTGGATAATGAAAGGATCTTATAGGGAGAAGTTACATGTTAATCACTTCTATGAGTTAATAGGCTAAACAGAGAATGACAAGGTTGAACATGCAAGAGGCTAAATTGAAGCAAAGACACTTTTGAAAAAGTGAACATGTAAAAAGAAATATATAGTCAAATAAACACATAGTTTCTCAGACAAAGACACCTTTTGCTTCACTGTTTTCTTCATCATCTTGACGATGTTGTGCTCCTTCCTTTTCACCTTCGTGTTCAGGGACGTGTACTTTATCATCACTTGTAGTCTGCACTTCAGGAGCTGCTGACAAAAACTGCTCAGGGGGATGCCACTGAACTTCATTTGTCTCCATGTTCCAGTAGTAATAACAGTTCGTAGCTTCATCCAGGCAGGCCTGCCATGGGTAGGTATCAGCTTCAAGAAGAAAACAGAATAGTAATTTAATTTAACCCTTTACACCCCAACATCAGTATGAGTATTCTCCAAACACTTCTCCAAACATTTGCCAAGGTGCAGACAAGGAGAATTTGTTTCATGATCAAAAGCTCCTTTATTTGCTGATCATTACTTATATTCTCCTGACCTGAATGTGTGATTCAGGGGTGAAAGTGTATTGAGAAATAGCCACTCTAAGGGGTTACGGATTTAAGAGACTTTGTCAAGGGGAAACAACTATGGTGAAATTTAGATTACTTTTTGATTGGGTATTGCAAAACTAAAACCAAAATGATTGTAACAACCAATCAGACATAGACATATAAAAATATATCACAGGAAACCTTTAAGAACTCACATTAAAAACTGCCTGAGGCACAATAAAACTGAGAAGATCAATTTAAAATTTCACATCAGTTTTGCACTTAAGGATCAACAACTTTACTAAACCAGTTTCGAGGTACAGTGAAACAAAACCAAAGCAATCCTGAAATATCAGTTCTTTTGATAATCATTGAAAAAATTGTTATAAAAAAGGGATGTCAAAATTCATGCAAAGAGAATATTTTAACTCGATGTAGTTTCAGCCATAAAAAAGGGGTGCAGTAAGGAAAAGAAAGTCATATTGGTATGTCAAGAAAAAACTATTTTTTCCCTGTAATACTTTAACAGAAGTATTGCTTGCCAATAAGCACTTTAGAAAATGTCATGAAGACAGGAGATTTTTCAAAGCACACTTTAAATTAAAGTACCCATGCATGTTTTGTAAAACCCTGAAAACCTGTGTGATATGTATCTGATAAATACACAAGGCAAAGTCCATTTTCTAATACCTCCACTTTTATTGTAATCAGCTCCTTCACTGTTATCATAACCCTCTGCAGGGTACATCATGGGATGTTCATCTTCTGTGGTGGAGCTCACAGCTTCTTCTGCCTGGCTGTTTGTTATTCCATCGTTGACAGTGCTAGTGGTGTCTGCATCTATGGATTCTATTTCCTGTAAAAATGAAAGCAATGCTGTAATTAAAGGACTATTTCAGACAGAACTGCAAAGCATTATCAAATACTAAATGAAACTAAATGAAAATGAGAATCAAACTGAAATGTTTTTTAACTGTAATGTAATATTGTGCAAGTACATGCATCAAATTATTAATAAATTCCCAGTTCCTGGCTCTTTCAGTTTTCATAATATATCAGAAATGATGACAGAAAAGGACTAAAGCAAAAATTTGTACACAAGCTACATGCATATGTTCATTTGTCCTTATCACATTTATATGGCTTAGAACTGTGAACTTTTACTGAGAGGAGAACCACGAACATGTCATTTGTTTCTCTTGTATATCACAAAGAAAAAAAGCAAATGATGATTACATCTCAACATGACTGCATCTGTCCAAGAAGGTCACAACAAAGGCATAACAGGAATACTGAAGATACCAGCACATAGTTTGAGGCAACATGATAAGAATTAAAACAGTCATGAGATAAATACTTCAATGGCACTCTGAAGCAGAGAATTCTAAATAATTTACTTAATCTTAAATACACTCTTCCTGTATCCCAAGTCTTACTTTAAAGAAGTCTGCCAGTTTGGCATCAATTTCCATGTGCTGTTCTGTTGATGATGGACTGGGTTGGGAAGATTCTTCACGGGAGTTTGTACCACTATTTCTATCATCTGCAAGTTCAAGATTTTCTTCGTCATCTGCCAGACAAGGAAGTAAACCACACAATTTTGAATTTTAAACCTTATTACCTTAAACCTTATTACCTTAAACCTTATTACCTTTGAGATAATTGAGCAAATTAATAACTTTAAATTGATAATAATTTCTTAAACAGTAATTAAAACAACACTTTACAGCTTAAAAGAAATCTCTAGAACTTCTTTTAATTTTTCAAATATTTTTGCTGCTCTTACACATGTTTCCCATTTTCTAATGATCCTTGATTCTGTAGAAAAGCTTTATTTCACTGCCCAGAGATAAATAAACCAAAGTACTCAACATTGCTGATTCCAGCAGCATGCAAGTCCTCTGTAGCTAAGCACTATACGAGGGAACAAATCCAAACATCTGTAGTTCAACTCTTTGATGGAAACTTTGTCCTACTCTTGTGACTAAACAAACTAGCACATTCTTCTACAGTTGATGGCCTTGCACAAAGTTCTCTATCTGTTTTATTCAATATACACTTAATAAATTTTTAATAGCATTGTTTTATTCAAATTACCTTCATCATCGCTGTGATCACCATACGATCCAAGAAGCCCAATTCCTAGATCATAAAATACAGCATTAATAATCACAAAACTGGAATTATAATGGAATATATATGATAATAAAAAATAGCAACAACAATGAGGGATTTCTATGGTGCCGTATCCATTGGCATTTCAAGGGACTTTGGCCAGACTGCATTGAGCAGTTTACAATATTTTTTGGAGGAAACTTTATGCAGTAGCATCCAAATTTCACAATCAAGGCCAGACCACAACACCAGGAACTGCCTTCCCTACTTTATGCAGTAAGTGAGTGGGTTCTTTAACATCCCCTTCTGGCTAGTACAGAGAAGATGCAGGGGATGGGGCTTATGGTTTTTTGGCCTTATCTGAGAAGACTGGTATGTCTAACCATGTGCAGATGCCATAGCAAAGGCAGCTCATTCTTCTTCGTTATTTTAAGACCCTGAGTGTTAATTGGGTCGGACACTTTAACTCTCCACCTCCCACATGGCAGTCCTGTGCTCTACAACATTAGCTAACCAGGCTGTGCTAACAATTTTATCTGCAGTTTCACAAATGTTTTGTCCTACCGTACAAATCCATTATTTTATACTGTCAAATATGCATCTCTCATAAGGAGACTCAATGTAATAAACTTGTGAACAAATTAAATAACTTTGTTTATCTCTCTGGTTCAAAATTTGTCATCTTTCTTAATCTACATGTACACTGTCAGGATATTTTTGCAAGTTCAGATCTTGGCGAGATCAGGGAACATGCAGAAATACTGTTATTTAAAAAAGTTTTGTATGAATATAGAAAATTGCCTGGTTCATAATGAGTTCAGCATAGCTAATTTGACAGAGAATACATCAAATATTACCTGATATACTGTTTGGGTTAATTGCTCTTGTTAGACTACTTGTTGCAAGTCCTGTTTTCAAAAACAGAAGCAATAATTCATGGGTATTTGCATCATCTTATTTCTAGTTAATACCATCATGGCAGGTTAAGTTCACCAGTTAAGCACTAGTCTTAATCAGTAACAGATTCAAAGGGCCACAATCCAAGCTACAACTGTTTTGGTCCACACAACCACTTGGTGCCCAAATTTGAAGAGTGAGGTCAATTTGGCAACATGTGTTTGGATGTCATGTCCAGTCTCAATGTTTTTTTTTCCCACAAAACTACTATCTCATTCTCCTTAGTTGCCTCAAAATTAATTCTTGTGATGATGCATAAACCTTCAAAAACAAATGTCAGCCATACTGCTTACTCCATCATACAATTGGCCCTTAAATCACCAGAAAAAATAACTGACTGGCAGTCATATTATGAGATCAACAGGACATTACAGGACTTACTGTACTTATTCAATTAAATGCCGTGGCATTTATTAAATTTTGTGTGATTCAAGTGCTGCGTTTATTTGAGGGTTGTGTTTATACAAGGGTAGCATTTATTTAAAATCTAATTTATTTCTTGCAAATAATAGTGTATGGCAACTTACTATTTCAAATTAAAATACAGAAACACGTTTTAATGCTTGTCTAAAAAGTCACTTTTTTAAAATCGTTCTCAATTTCGCTATTTGCATGTTAATACTACATAACTGTAATACATAAAGTAAATAAAGATCTAATGTTGAATATGCTTTCTCAACATCAGAACTGGTACATTCAGGAGAATTTGTGTCTAGCTCACACAGAATTTCCAACCGTAATCAAAGCATCAATTTTTATGTGCTTTTTGTGTCTATCATTCGAATAAACACCATATATGATGCAGCATTTATTCAAGGGTGGCATTTATTAATACTTTTGCTCTAAAATGCATTTAATCGAATAAAAAGGGTAATCCTTGTGCATTCAAGGAACCTTACTGGGCACACTAGTAGTTGAAAGGGTCACTGTGGTTCCCTTCAATTCATCAACCTTTTACTCCTTTGAGTGACAAGCATCTAATTTCTCCCTAAAATATCACCCTGAATAATACATTAGGGTCAAGAGAATGAAGGAAATGATCACCAACTACAGAAGCTTTTGATAGGGACACAAGTTCTCCTCATCAGCACCTTAGGAAATCTATAGAAACCAGTATGGAGAATATGCATACTGATGTTAAGGTGTTAGGGGCTAAGCACTTAGTAGAGTTTTAACAGACCTTCCCCGGCTTCTCTCCTTGATACTCGGCCAATTTGCAGAACTGTTCTTCTACGAGAGGCTTGAGCCACAAGCTGTTTCTCCTTAGACCGTCGTCCCATAACTCAATTATCCAAATTTTTCATTCTATTCTAAAGTGTGTAAAATCATGGAAATAATGTTTCAATTGATGTACTTGTATTTGTGTACTGTACATAACTACTCAAAACATAAAACTCAGTAATTTACATTTGAATTAGGCGCAAATTTGACATCAATGCTCCTCACTAAGCAGCAGTGAGGATTTATCAAAAAATAACCTCAAAATATCATCAAAACGTGATGATGTTTCCCTACATACAAAAAAATGACAGAAATTGAAACTAATTATACCAACTTCACAGGGAAACATAATTTTCCCCGGAATGCTTTGCATTATGAAAACATGGATGACGCATACTGAGGAAGGTATTCAGACACATAACAATTGTAAACAAGATAGTCACTTTAAATTCACAAACTAACCTTTTAAATAATGAAACTTTGACACAAATTGGTCAGGAAGTCTTTATTATGGCGGATGGCGGAGCAGACCACATGGCAGGCTCTTAAGATTTGTCAGCGGTAAAATAACTCAATTAAGCTCTAGTGTCCAGCTTCCCTCGTCCATGTCAATTACTGGTTATGGCGGCGATTGCATTCCTTTTTCGAACAGGTAACTTTAGTCTTTTTCATCGCCTACAATGTGGCGATGTTTGATTTGAAGATTGTGTTTATATTTACTTCATGTAGAAACCATATTTAACCTAATTCCATAATTTTCTGTCGTCTCCGGAAGGGGAAAATTTGATTTGTGCCCTCTGCGAAACTTTACTTCCTTGGTTACGTACTGTTTTCGATCGAATGTTTACATTAGCAAAGTAACTTTTCTGGCAGTGTGGTTAGTTGTTTTGATTTCGACCTGAAATGTGACTTTTGATATCGGAGTGGCAGGATCAAGCAGGTGAAGCACTGAGAACGACATTTTGGATGAAAATAGTTATGAGTCGGTGATATGCATGTTGCGCGTTAATCCAGAGACAGAGATTCGAGTCGATGTCGCGTTTCGAATATTTTCGTCGTTCTTTTTGGAAAATGCAGGAAATGAGCCCTGCGGGGATCATAAATTTATTATGGTTATGTTGTGTTCATAAGCACATGCCATGAGAGTTAACGATTCTGGTGCAATGAAAACTTTAGTTTATTGGTGGGTAAAGTTTCAAATACAACTGTCTAAGCGTAGTGTTATGCTCTCCTATAGTGTTTGTCGACTTAGTAGGTTAACTAGAGCCTAAATATTGATACACGTTTTCACCAAACCGATCAAATTTGAAAATTTCTTAAATAATATATGTTGATTTCAGTTTGAAGGTCAAACTTCAATTTTTCAAAAAAAAAACATGTCAAGATAAAAGTTTACTTATTCTTCATATCAACAGCCTTCATGCAATCTACAAAGACTCAACGTTTGCCATTGGCATCTCCTTTAAAGTCGTCTGTCTGTAAAACATCAACTAGTGGATCTCTACGCAACATCAGCCCCCTTAAACGTGCAACAAAAAAGAAGCCAGGCACAACAGGGACTAGTCAATCAGATACTAGATTAACTTCATCATTAAGAAAGCTATCACTAACTCCAAATCCTCAACCACCTTCCCGGTCTAAAAGCATATCTCCTAGGAAAGCAAAATTAAGTCATGTTCGAGGATTGAGTTCTTCTGCAGTCCACTCAGTTGAGGACATTGTGAGTCTTATTAAAGGGGATAAATGTAAAAACATCATTGTCATGGCTGGTGCAGGGATAAGTACTCCTAGTGGTATACCTGATTTTAGGTAAGTAGCATTGTTGAGAAGTGCAGATTTTGTCATGGAATTTTATTATTGTCTGGAATTGTTATTGTGGTATGACCAATCTCACAGGAGTTCAAAGCATGAAAGCAATCAGAAAACCACAAACAGATTTATTTAGCATTATTAGATAACTTGGTTTTACCAACTGAGGTGATAATGTAAGGTGAATGCTAACACTTGAAACATCAGCTTTAAAAACTCTCCGTGGTGGCCAATTTATATTATCAACTCTTATGATGAAACCAAATTATCCTATAATACCCCACCATAAAGCAGTTTTTTAGAAACTTCCCCCTCTCAATTGATTAGCATTATTGTAAACCTGTCACTTAAAGTTTTTTTTACACCAGATTGGCTCGAATTTCATTGTTAACCCTCCCCCTCCCTTGGATTGATCAACGATTAATTTATTATTACAATAACAGTACATCATCAAGTATAAAGTGATGGTATCAAAGTGACGTCACAAATAGGCGTACTCATTCCCAGTCTCCAGGTCAATTTCACAAGGAAAATGAGTGAATTTCAAGGTGCAGAAAGTAACGTAACTTTTTTTTATCACTTCTAAACCAGTGTTTGTTTATTTCATGTTTCAAAGAATCAAACACAGGGTAAAAGGAATTTGTGTCACATACACAAGTTTAGTGATATTGTATGAAAAAGAAAATAAAGTGAATAGTTTTATTTTCAAAGTCATAAATTGTATAATTAAATGTAACCACATTTTTCATTATATGTGCACAGAACACCAGGAACTGGACTTTATGACAACTTACAGCAATACAAAATCCCAGAGCCAGCAGCCATTTTTGATCTAGACTACTTTTGGTATGACCCAAGGCCATTCTTCTGCCTGGCTCAGAGTCTTTATCCTGGAAATTACCAGCCAAACTATGTTCACCATTTTGTAAAGTTACTCTATGACAAGGGATTGCTGTTGAGAATGTACACACAGAATATTGATGGCTTGGAAAGATGTAAGCTAACTGAATTTTTGAACTACAGCTTCTCATGAGTGACCAAGACAGAATCTCTCCTTACAATATCAACACACCTGGAAGTCTGTGGTTTGCCTCCACTTGCAATCCACAGGCAGCAAAGGCAGTGTTTTGACACTAGGTTACCTGGGCATGTAAATCACACTATGTGTAGTTTCTGTAACTGATGTGATTTTTCTCTTTTAAGTGGCTGAAGTACCAGCAGCAAAACTTGTGGAAGCGCATGGAACATTCTCAACTGCATCATGTATAAGATGTCACAAAAGCTATGATGGAGAACAAATAAAGGTAGGGATTGTGGATTGAAGAGAATGTGCACTTTGCAGGTAACATTCCTTTTTAAGTTTGATAATTAAAAATGACTTGAAATTATTATAGTATTTATCTGAAACCAGCTAGGACAGTTATGGCTGATGCAACAAAGAGAACTGCACATTAAAGATCACATGGCCTATTTCCAGCAGGCCTTAGCAGTGTGTTAGAAAAACATTTTCACTTCTAGTGTTTCACTCAGTCAGTGTAAGATAACAATTTTGGCAGAGACAAACTTGCCCCATATATAACTCCAGGTTTTTTGTGAGGTAAGGGCCCTGACTACCTGGCCATCATTTCTCTTCAAACATCAAACACTGTAGGGCAAGTCTGACAAGTCTCACCCTTCATCAGTATCCTGTGAGCTGTATCAGGGCTATCACCAACTCAGACTACAGAGCCCATTCTGCTTCATTATTCTCCAAACTAGGAATTTTAGATATTTTCCCTGTCAATACATTTGAAATCCCAAATTCATGTTTTATTATCAAAATAGTGTATTGCCCCCATTGTTTCCCAATCTTTTTGTAACAAATAGCCAAATTTACTGCTCTGGCACCAGAACTGCTCTTATTATGAACTGCATTTATATTGTACAAATCTCAAGCAATATTTAACTCTCTACCAAGGTCCTAAAATTTGCAATTCTCTTCTTGTATTAGTCACTTGCTAATCAAGTCTTAACTTCAAGACGAAAATGCTAGAGTTTTTTATAAAAATAAACACTTAATTGGCATAGCTTGGCCAATTCAGTGTGCTTGCTAATGAAGCCTTTTTAGCTTTAAGACAAAAATGCAAGGGTTTTTGCTAAAAGTAACACAGAACTGGCCAAGCCGCACATTTGCAGCACTCATTTTTTGTCAATACATTGTTGTTAGTGAGGTGGCCTCCCATAAACCAGGTGGTGTCTTGAGGTCTCCTCACCTTACGATTATGATGCTGTACATTGTCTATTGTTACTGGTAAAAAGGCAAATAGGTGATGATTATGATTTAAAGCTGTTTGATTGTAGTCCTGCAATATACATAAAGCTTGAGTCACTGACAATTATGTAATTTTTATAGAAAACTATCATGTCAGACCACATGACCATCCCTTCTCTTCAAACTTCAAATGCGCTGGGGCAAGTCTGACCCTTCAGTATCCATATTTCAGACATTTGATTGAAGCATTGCAATTTGTTTGAGGCTTGAGTCATAGAGAATTTGTATTTTTAACAGAAAACAATCATGGATGGTGACATTCCTAAATGCTCCAGTCCAAGATGTTCAGTAAGTGACAAATAAAGGGCCTTCTCTGTTTCTTGACAATTATGAACTTATATTGCAAAACACTCACATTCGAGATCTTTATGAAATATTAATTTCTCTTTATGGATAGCTATTGCTCTCTGGAAAGTGAATTTTAACACTACTACCAGTCATTAATTAGTTCACCCCAAGATATGTATTCATTTCTTTGCTTTTTTTGTTAAATCTGTATTTTTTATCCTTGCAAGCTTTTTGAACTAAGTGATCCAGCAACCACCTAACCAGCCTACTTCAAAATTGAAAATATTTTTTTACAAACTGCCAATGGGCAGTAAGTGAAAATCATATGAAAAATCATCAAACACACAATCCACAACCCACATTTTATGCAGTGTTGGCTTTGTTCCTTCCTTAATATGTGAAAATATGATAGATCAAAAAACATTCCTAGGATGAAAAGGTACTCCTTGAGCACAAAGTTGATGCTGAACTGTATCCTTGAATCTTTTTTTTTTTTTCAGGGTGTGGTTAAGCCAGATATTGTGTTTTTTGGTGAAAACTTGCCCAAAAGGTTTTACTCCTATATTGTGGATTTTCCAAAATGTGATCTTCTAGTAATCATGGGCACTTCATTAGAGGTGAGGGTTACATTGAACCAGTCTTCTAGTTTTGCGAACCACTGATTGAAAAGTTTTAAATTTAACATTTGCTAACATTAATTTCTTTAATTTCTTCAGGTGGAGCCATTTGCAGGCATTGCGAGTTCTGTGGACCGTTCCACTCCTCGCCTTTTGGTGAACAGGGAGATCGTGGGACCGTTTTCTCGGCGTTGGGAGAGACGCTCCAACGACGTGGTGCTCCAAGGAGATATTGTAGAGGGTGTGACAAAACTTGTTAACTTGTTAGGATGGTCTGATTCAATGGACATAATTATAAACAGTGCCAAGCAAAACTGGAAAGATCATTTGTCTACCACGGACACCAAGGTTAGTAAAGCTTCTGAGGAGCTTGCTAAAAGTATTGGAAAGACATCAGACAGAAGAGAAATGATGGAAACATCTTCACAAACTAGCAACGCCCAGCCAAAGAATGGCGTTGATGTACAGAGAAAGGAGAGTGGACTGTTTACAAGCACTCCTAAAAATGGAGTCTCTAACGGAACGACAGGACCAAGTCCATTTGGTACCAGAACGCTACACTCCCAAACTAATAGTTTTACAGGCAAAGGAGTTCTTTACAGGACAAATAAGAGTGTTCTCTTCATGAATGGGGAGGGGCCTATGAGACCCTCTTCATCTTCTCAAAGAGCCCCTCTTTTGCCGTTCCGATACACTCAGAGAAAAGAATCGAGTGGACAGGATAAGAAAACGGACTTCAAGGTTATTGAACCAGGAAAGGATCTTGCAAGTGCAGGATTTGGACTTGGAAGGCGAAGCGTGGGGCGAGTAAGCTGTTTTCTGGCCGGAACTGCGGATGAAAGTTCTAGTGATGATGATTCGGCATAGTTCACAGTAAAACTCCTGCTGATTTATAGCAAGAGTTAAAATGCAGCTGCTAAATAACGCAGCGTAGTACATGTAAGGAGCCGGTGATGATGACGTTGAACATGTCAGAAACCGACTATAGAGGAGAAGTTGTAGTGGGCCAATCACGTTGGGTTAAATAGTGGTACATTATGTTAAAGTCGAGTTGTTTCCGTACAGATACATATATCAAGTATATATATTTTTTTAACTTCTGTAAAAATGGTTTAAGGGAAAAAGAAAAGATAAATTATTCCGTGCTATATCAAGAGTTGTCGATTGTTGTGACGCAGATAAAATAAATAAATGTATTAAGTAGAGTTAGCATAGCTGTCGAGCTTATCTCAGTTTCTGTACTCTGATGCTGGTAGGATCATCAACACCGTGTCCATTCAGGCTAATCCCTCCCCCCCGCTCCCATAGCTGTTTTTCAGGTGTCTCTGACGCAACCATCTATACTCTCACCTGCTTTCTTTTTAATCGGTGCTTGGGTAGGGAGGCGGAATTGAGGGAGCGCAGAGACAGAGTCCAGGACACACATGTTTTATCAAGTGTTTTTTCGGGTCATTTAAGACAAGGGTATTGCATTGTATCCCACGATAATTTTATTTATTTCATTAGCGGTGGAGAAAGGTATCCTAATATGTCATCAGTTATCAGGATTGTGAGTAATGTTGATGGGTATGACCTTCGCGCAAACCAGTGAGACAAATATGCAGACACTCAAGTGGCTAGACCCTCACAGTTATCTACTATCTGCCAAGGGTTTGTGGTTTGCAAAACAGGCGTGATTTTGGCAAGCGAACGCTCAGTATTTTCTCGGTAAAAACTATCGCTCCAATCCTTGATTTTTACAACAGTGTAAGACTAGGCAGAGAAATAAATCTGAGCGACGGTAACAAAAGACGAAGATGGGATGGGTGGGACAAAATGAATCATCTTTCCGCGCCTCCCCCCCTCCCCCACCCCACCCCACTGTCAACTGTATCTCTATACTGAACATGACCGGCCGGATAGTCAAATCGTGTTATTAGGGTTTGCAATTTATCGCTGGTACTAATCAATAAATCTCATAATTCAACCCTTTTTCCCTTGTAAAAGTATTTTTTATTTTGATATAATTAAAATATGAATATTTGAATATCTTCTGTGAGAACCAAACTGCAGCAAGACGATTGCAAATCACTCATCTGTGGAGGAAAGATCACCTGCATGCCTGGTCACTTATTTCTTATTTAAAAATCATGTTTGCTGATAAGACCGCGGTCCACATTTTCTACTTCACGTTTTAATTTTCGTTCAGCAATTCGCAGAAGAGTGGGCCCGAAGGATGTACTCTTAAACCCCTAGAAAAATTTGCACACCTAGAAAGGTTTTTGAAACCCCTGTTTTAATAACCAACTTTAAAAAAAAGGTATGATGTGTTATTTTCCTCGTGAAAATAGTTTGTATACTTTAGATGACGAGAGGCCCCCGGATTCAGAGGAGACCGAATTTCCTCCTGAAATGGTAAGTTGTACAGCACAAAAGTACTAGGAAATACTCTCCCACCGACGCAGCAACACAGTTTCTTTAGAAACTTACCCCCTTTATTCATCTGATGTGAACATACTATGCTTCATGTTCATAACAAACGTGTGCACCTGTCAACTAAAGTGCACTAACTGCACATCAGGATCTGTGTGAAACTTCTACTTCTTGTTATATCAGTACAGATATCATTTTGCAGACTGCGAAGATTGCTTTCATATTCAGGTCTTTATCCGCAGTTCAAATATATGACTTTCATATATTCACAGTCGTTTATTCACCAGTTCATGGATTTAATTGGAACCAACATAATAACCAGTTCCTAGTTGGCTTGTTAGCTCAGTTGGTAGAGCGCTGTACCGGTATCGCAGAGGTCATGGGTTCAAATCCCGTGCAGGCCTGGATTTTTTTTTCAGGCCTTATTTTCACTACTGTTCAAGTAGTGTTCATTACTGCGAAGATCGCTTTCATATTCAGCGGATACCATCTCACTAGTCTCGTACCCAGATCTTTCACGGCTAATCTCTAGGTAGGATCTGGGTACGAGATTACCATTCCGCTTCGTTTTACCAACTGAATTTCGCTGCAAGCTGGCAAACTGGGAGAGAGTGATGCACTCCGAGGCACAAAGTGTAATTATTCAGAAGAGGAGTTTTCTGAGATAAAGCCAAAATAAACTCCATAAATCCCTCCTCATTTTATATTCATTTTTTCACGGAAACGTGAACTAACGAAATTAGGAAAATACTACTGCTAAGTTACAGGTTGCTTGGCTCTCTGATGTTAAACTTTCAGCTTTGCACGGATTGGCTGTTTTGATTTTCGTATTTGGGAGGCAGTAACCGTGATTGGCAAAGGCTATGCTATTTTACGTGGCAAGCGGTTCTGGGTGCACTTGATGAGGTTGAGCCGTTAAAATGACTCGAAAACCTGCAAAACGTTTCGTAATCAAAGCCCCCGTTGTACGGGTATTTGCAGCTCCGTCGTTTAAGCGAGCGCTCAATAAAACCATAACCGCCAACCGCCCAGGCTAACACTAATCAGGTGGAGATTGTTGCGTTTGCTATAAAATAGTGATGTGTGTTTTTCCATCGGGATCGTATCTCTGCAAGACACCATGGTCTCCCTTAAAAATTTTGACTCGGTTGTTTGGTGGCTAATGACGGTGACAAAAGGAAATGAAAATTATCAATTATTCAAATCAATCGAGGACTCTGCCTTGTGAAGGATCATCCCAATCTTTTAGTGGACTACGGGAGGCCCTAGCAATATTGAATCAGACGCTGCTCACTGGCTATCAGTTTCCCGCGGCTTAGCTTGCCTGACTCCAATCTTCTGAGTTACTTCGATGTACATCTCTCCAAGCGAATTTGAAAGTTTTCCCTTTCAAATCAAGTCTGATCGGACGATTAATAATCTTTTCTTTTTGGTAGTCATGAGACAGCAAGTTGAGATGTGGACGCCCTTTGAATCACCAATTATCGCAGTCTGTGGCCTTTCCTCTTATCTAGGCAGATCGGAAAACTGCTGAACTAAACTTTAAAAAACAAAAATTATCTTTCAAATCAGCATTCTGAATCCCCACGGTTTCAACGAACGCTTCCATTCAACCAATTTATTCGTTTTGTCTCGTTACGATGATTCCGCCTATAGCGTAACTCCATTTCCTGCATATAAACACACGCAACCCACAATAGTCCTCCAGAAACTTTCAAGGCGGCCAATCAACTTATCAACTCCGTTGAGAAAATCAAACCATCTTAGTGAATCATCAGTCTACTTTATATAATTTTAATAGCAAGAATTTAATTCAAGTACGTCTGACTCGGCGCTGAGCAAAAAAAGGTCGATTCTAACACGAAATCGAGATGTAATTTTCCTATCATTCTAGTTATACGTCTGAGCAAGTTAGAGTGAATTAGGATGCAATTACCACACGATGGAGTCGATGAGTCGTGCGAAGTTGTTTTAGTGGTCAAAGATGGCAAGTTCAAAGTCCACAGAAAAGCTCTTTCAGAAGCAAGTCCTTTCTTTGAAAAGTTGCTGAACAGCGACATGAAGGAGTCCAAAGAAGGAGTGGTTCGCTTGGAGATGTTTACAAAATCTGTTATGAGTAAGACAATAGAGTTTGTTTACACCGGAAATCTTCATATATTAGATGCAGACGAAGCCCGCGATTTGGTTGTGATAGCGGATTATTTGTTTCTCACAAAACTAAAGGTGTGTGCATCAAGATATCTTCTTCAGAAATTAAACATTACCATTTTGAATTCTCTATCAACTTTACGTATTGCTGATGCGTATCGCCTCAAGGAACTTTACTCTAAGACCAAAAAATTTATACTTGCAAATATCAACGCCTTATTCACCGAGAACCGCGAAGATGTTTTGAACATGTCAAGCAAGGAACTTACAATTTTTATTTCAAGCGACGAACTGATCGTAAACGTCGAGGAAGATGTGTTTAGTATCATTCTTAGCTGGATTCATCACGACATAAGGAAACGACACACCTACTTCGTAGAGTTATTTCGTCACGTTCGACTGCTTTATATATCGCGTGACTATCTGTGCAATGATGTCGTGACAAATGAACTGGTCAAAGGAAATGAAGGCTGTCTGGATCTTGTTCACAAGGCTATCGGCATCCATGAATCAAAGAACGTTGATAATTTCCTGGATAATCTCCATGTAACACCTAGGAAGGCTTTTCAAACCCCTGTTTTAATCGCAAACATTGAAAAATATTTGATGTGCTATCTTCCACGTGAAAATAGCTGGTATACTTTAGGTGGCGAGATCCCTTTAGAACTGAAGGGTGACCGACTTTTCTCCTGTAATAGTAAGCTGTACAGCACAAGAATAGAGTCAGTTAAATATCCTCGGGAGATCTGCAGACTACATATGTCATGCTATGATCCATACTCGAGCACTTGGATTTCATTACCAGTCTTGGAAGGGAACGCACATTGTTGGCAGATATTTGTCAACAATAAAGATGAGGTGTTTGCTTTATTCTCGGAACCAAGCGGTGGGAATCACTTCCCCACTTGGTGGATTCGAAACGGAAGAAGTTCCGCTGAACTTACCCCTGTTAGACAAGGTGTCGAGGAAGGAACCGAAGACAAAAACGTTTCCTTCATTATGCAATATAAATCTGAATTACACAAGTGGGAAGAAATTGCATCTTTCAATTATTTAGACCTGAGACAGGATTTTATCATTGTGGCGCATGACAACTTCATTTATTTTATAGGCAGAATACTCAGAATACTCTGGCGTGGACGCGAGTATGAGTTCCCGCATGATGTGGAAAGGTATGACCTTAACATAGACCAGTGGGAAAAATTACCAGGTCTTCATCAAATCGCAAGAAGGTCGGCTTGTGGTGCTGCAGCAAACAGGAAAGTAATCATTGCTGAAGGCTGTCAGTGTGAAATTTACAATGAAGACACAAATGAATGGCACTTCATCGAAGACTTGGAGGAAGGATCTTATTCAAGGAGAATTATAAATCTCGTAACTGTCGATGATCAGCTGTATGCTTTGTTTAAAGATCAAACTGATGGGACCTACACGGTTAAACATTACGACACCGAGAAGAACAAATGGAGTCCGAACGAACTCATGACGAAGATGTCTTCAGTATTGGACGTGTGTTCGATGAGAATTTTCAGAGGATGGCTCAATAACTTCTCACTGAAAAGTCTTACATCTGTTCCCATTCAAGATACGCCTAAGCACTATTGTTGTAGCATGTAACGGTGATTAAATTTTTTGAGCCAATATTTAAATTACATGACAACCATGAGATTTTAACCCAGCCTCACTGATGTGTACATACGATGCTTCATTGTTCATCAAGGATCGTAACAAATGCATACACCTGTCAACTGGAGCGCACTGAGTGCACATCAGGATCTGTGTGAAACCTCTTGTTATATCAGTTTGTAGACTGGCATGCGGACGACGCGATAGTAGCAGCCGAAGGAGCTTGGGTCTGGCTTAACGCGACCCGACCCAACCCTCGCTCGTTTTTCCGCTGAGCGGCTACTATCGCTCAATCATCACAACATTTACCATCGTGCTACGTTCTAATGACTGAACGTCGCTACAGGCGGGCAGACTGGAAGAGAGTTATGCACTCCAAGAACACGAAGTTTAACGCCCAAGATCTCATTATTCACCCTCATTTAATTTTTATACTATCACCGGTAACTCTGTTTTAGATTGTTTGGCCCTGTGATGTTAAGCCTTTAAGCCGTCTGCCATACAATTCTTATAATGCTGGTTCGGAGAATTTGGTATTGAATCAACTAACAATTTGCCTAACTGATATATTCCTTTATTCTCATCACTTGTCTGCTTGATATTGTACTGATAATGTAAGGAGAAATTCTGACTTGGTCACTTATGGGAGTTTAAGGGTTAAAACGAGTCAAGAGACCGCGAAAGGTTTTACAATAAAAGCCCCTCTGCTTGCACAGGTATTTGCGGCTCCACCGTTTTAGCGAGCTCCCAATAAAGTCGCCAGCCGCGCAGGCTAACACTTATCAAGCGGTAATTTTGCTTATTTTAAACTAGTGATGTGTGTTTTCCCATCAGGTCAGGACAGAATCTCTCCAAGAGACCATGATCTTGTGATTTACCCCTTAAATTTTTCTTAGTTTGGAGGTTTGTGACGATAACGACAGAAAATAAATGTTACCAATTATTCAAACCAATCAAAGACTTGGCCTTGTGATAGATTATCCCAATCTTTTAGTGGACCCGAGAGGCCTTGTGTAAAATTATAACAATGCACGGAGGCTACCATTTTACTGCGGTTTTACTTGCTTTACACTAATCTGTCTAATCTGTTGAGTTACATCAATTAATGGACTTCTCCCCCAAAGCGGCAGTTTTCCCTTTAAATCAACTTTTAACTGGACACGCCACCCATCTCTCCGCCAAATAAGAAACGTCCCGTAATTATTTGATTTTAGCGCCCGTGGGCTTAATTACTTTTGATACCTAAAGGGAGGTCGCTTATTCAAAACAGGGCGCATGATAGGGACAGGGTACTTGTTTCTTTTTTGAGAAACAGCAGAACGAGAATCAAAGCTTTTGTTTTCATTTGACTGAGGATCAAAGCAGACTTGTTGTCTCGCCTTGCTAGATCGGCTAGCCAAGCAATCCTCGCAAAATTTTGAGACAGGATCTTTCGTTTGAAGGAACAATGCGCTTCCGGTGGTAGAGCGAAAGACTAAGACGAAGACTTTTTTCTTATCGTGAGGCTTTCAGTGAGCAGCTTAAGAAAGATGGACCACGGTTGATCTCAATGTTCATGTGCTCGAACAGTGCTATTACTAGAACAGAATAAGGGCGCTCATTGGTATAGGGTAGCTTATTAGAATAAGGGCGCTTACTCAGTAGGGGCGCTTATTGACAAAAACAAATCCGAGGGGGGGTTACTAATTTGAAGGAAGGCGCTTGAGTCATTGCGGCACTGGTAAAACTCATCAAAGAGTTCGTGGGGTATTCGATCATCTCTTGCTCTCGCCAATCAAGGGCATTGTGGAATGCACCAATCAGATCGCAACAGCGTCTCTTCCATAGTAGACACATAATCAGCTCCTACAATATTAATGGAAGCTTTGCAGTTGTTTTAAGACTTAAATGGACAAAATTTAGAGTCTTTCATTCATATTCAACTGCAACAAACTGAGTAGAGACTGGGGCTCAAAATGTGTCTGAGGGTCACGCATTACAAAGAATGAAAAAAAAAATTTTTTAATGAAATTGTTGTCAATTTCTCTGGCTGCAGCTGGAATTGTCTGTAAATAACATGGCTTAAAAGTGTAAAACTGTTATCTGTTCTTTAACTTACATTGTTTTTTTCGCAGAAATGAAATAAACACAATCCTTCATTTGAAATCAACATTTCCTAAATTGATGTGAACATTCTAATTCATTCGATTTTGTCAAAAAAAAAAAACTGAACATGAAGAATTCAGTAACCTTGATGTTAGGTAAATACAAGTAAAATAGATCTCTCTTATATTTCATTAAAACTGTCTGTATATACACTTTACATATAATTTTTTTCCTTTGCTGCTGATTTTTGGGATCAATATCAGTATCTAAACAACTGCACACCTACCCCTCTCATACCCCAACATTATTAGTTGACTATTGTTGGGTTAGGGGAGGGGTAGGTGCACGGTGGCTAAAGTACTGACATTGATCCAATTTTCACTAAAACACAAGCGCAGGCTAACATAGACACATGCACCAGGATGCTGATCACTGTAATTCCTTTGTTTGACAAGATCCTTACAAAAGACACCAATGATCAAATCTGGGTTTCACTTGTGCTATAGTTTAAAAAGGCCCCCCACTTGCTTATGATTAGATACTTGAACTTTTGACCTATACTCCTGTATCCTAAAGTCTGGTCAGAAACTCAAGACCACTTCAGTCTAATGAAAATGAAAATTTCAAAGGCCACTCCAATGCGAGGGTCACTGTGGCTTGGGTCAGATAAATCATGCTAGCATAATTATATGTATAATGCTTTAGTCAGAGCATCATGCATAATACTGGCATAATGGCTAAACTTCTTGAAAATTTTCTTGATAATGTTGTGTTTCCATGGTGATGCTGAAAAGCATTATGTTCAAATTTTTTTAGCATAATTTAAGTGACCCTACCAATGGCAATAGGCCAAGCCATTATCATGGAATGACAAGTCAAATGTGTTTCAATGAACACTAAACAATAACACCTAGTGCCATACAAGAGGGTGGTCGATATGGAGGGGGTGGGTCACCAGCTCTGACACTTTCATTATCATCAAGAACTGCGCTGTATGGTGGAGGGGCAACATTCCCCTCAAAGAATCCAGAGACAGTCTGCCGTGCACCCTGGATAACAACATGTCCTCTATGATTGCGATGATGGTGGTGCCTTCTCGTTCTGTATCTGCGATTTTGTGTTCTGATATGTATTCTTGTTGGAGCTCTTGTCACTATTGAGTTCCTTTGACGTTTTGAGAGTGTTGTATGCCGTACAATGCTGAAGACAACAAGTACCACAAGAAACATGCATGTACACACAGTTGCAACAACAACAAAAGTATATGGAAGATGTTCACTTCGTGGTTCTGATTTACTCTCTGAAGGTTTCATTGTCACATTCATCTTCACAACTGGAACAGATTTTCCTAAGAGACCATGTTGTGAAAAAAAAAAATTAAAACACATGTAAGATAAATAAACAACACATATATGTCAGCTAAATGTAGAGCATAAATTTCTAATTTTCTGGAACAAGGAAAGTACTTTACTTAAGTTTCATCTAGCCATGGAAAGAGATTGACAAGAAAATGTAATGAATAATAATTGAATCATTTTTAAATGTTAAGGCCGATGATCAATAAGAAAATGTTTAATTCAATGGTAATTCTAATGATTTAAAAGCAGACCAGACTTTGCAACAACTCTTCTTCAAAGTAAATATTCTCATTAAGTATAATCTTATTATTTTCTAAACTTTCACACCACCTTGAAAACATCTAACCCATAAAACATCTGTAGATTCAAAATTGGAAAAAAACTTAAAATTTCCACAATAGCTAAACATAACTAATTAAATTAAAACAATCTTGTAAACAGACCTGTTTTAGGAGTTTTAACAGCTTGGGGAGTACTAACTGGCTTTTGAGAATGATCTGAAGCAAAATAGAAATTAAAAACTTTTTTGCATATCAGTAATTCTTATTTTTCAACTGTTTGTGGTTCGCATCCCTTTACATCTTCCTTGTTGGTGTATCCCCTCCAGTGTCTACCTACTCTCGCAAACTGGTGGGCATCCTTACAATAAACGACAACTTTAACTTGACCATAAAATTTTGTGAGGCAACACTTTAAGGTCATGGAGATGCAATTGTCTGATAGTTGGTATGATGGACTCCCAGGGTTAAAACATCCAGGTCATGGACTGAAACCTTGACTCTGACATGCCCTTATTCACCCCCGTGCCCAGGTGTGTAGATGGGTACCAAAGACCTGTCAGAGAAGCCTGACAAAATGCTGGGGATGGGGATGGGGATGGGGCTGGGGAGGGGGGTAACCTACCATGAACGGGCATCTCATTTAGTGGAAAAGAAATACTCCATGAGGCTTCATGTAACAGAGACCAGGATAAGCCCCAGTGAATTGTAGGCCATTTGGCCCAAATGAAAGTCTTACTTATTAAACCCTAATAAGGCTGTGACCCTGTACTTGCTCCGGCAGAGGTTTAAGCTGGACAAGACTCATTCAAGCACCTCCACCTCTATAGACACCTCAGTGCTTTAAGTGCTTTTGCACATTTCAAATTTTCCAAAAACAGGAAATGCAAATAAGATGAACAGAAAAACCAAAAGATTATCTGCTTCCAAAAACAAGTTTGGATGAACTACATGTACCTGTAGAACACTTAAATAATTTCTAAAGAAAAAAATGATAGCTCCATAACCAGTAACAAGAAATTAAGAAAAGAAAGGTTTAGAAAAAAAAGATTACTATGTGTCTCTGATAACATGCAAACCTGCTGGAAATATTTGATTTAAAAAGGATAGTTTTGTACACAATTTTGTGCCCACCTTTTTTCTTGAGGACCTCCAATATCCGGGAATAATTGACAAAGAAGCATTTCCTGTGTTTTTCAAGTATGTCCATGGATAAAACAAATTTAGGATGTTTTGTAACGTGACAACCAGCCAGTTCACTAATGCACATCCGCAGATTTTTCACCTCTCGGCAAATTGATGAAGAGTTCCGATTAAATTTTTGGTAGCATCTATTGACAAGATCCTCACTACATACTTTTCTATGAACTGCAAAGAGAAGGAGAGTCATTAGAAGCATACTATTCCAGAAAACAGTTTAAATTGATGCCCCTTTGTACAAGTGTTATAAGTTGAAGGGGTCTACATCTATGTACAGTAATGATTCAATTTAGCACCCTCTTTCCAATAAGAACCTCCCTCAAATAATATTTGTTGGTAAACGCCCCCATTGAGTAAGCACCTTCATTCCAATAAGCACCCCTACACTAATTATTGCCCCTATTTTGTTTCTGCAATAGCACTGTTAGAGTACATGTAAGCATGGGTCCCTCTTGCTTTAATTACTTGCTTACAAGGTAAAAAAAAAGGGGTCTGTTACTGTTACTACTTCATATAACACTTGATCAAAAGCTGCACCAATGCAGTTAAAAAAGGCATACCTTTACTTGGTGGTAAACAGTCAGGAAAAGAATTTACTTTGTTGATAAGTGATTCATACTGGACTCTTATCCTGGCATGGCTTGGCCAAATGTTATTAGCACAAGCTTTGAGACAAGACCGTAATTCCAAAATTTCCTGGCATATCTTCAAGTTGTTCTCATTGAACTGATCCTGACAAACTGTCAACCAATGTTCAGTGCAGTTGCTACTAGCATAAGATTCTGCCAAAAAATTAACAAGAATATCAGTAACTTGAAAGGATTAATGATTAAAAATTATTTGTGTTGAATGATAAACATCCCTACTCCATAACACAACAGTTTTAAAAGTACAGATTATGTCTTCCAATACCTTATGAAGTGAAAATGTTTGCAACATATCTGTATTCAAACTCGTATTTAGTGATTCAACATTTAACTTGGAAAAGAACCTTTGGTTTGTTAGAATTTTTAAAAGAATTTACAACTTCTTTGGTGACAAAATCACTTTGATTGTTCATGTATTTAGAGTCATTTCTTCATCCACTTTCCAGTGATTAATAATAGTAATTGAACTGAGTGGGGTGCAAGTTGGTCTGAAACATATAAGTTATTTCAAAATTCAATGAGCGCACAGCTTAAGTTTAATTTGAAATCATACGTATGATTTCTGACTAAAATTGCACGACACAAAGTCCAGTTACCACTTTGTTACATCCACTTTTAAATCACAAAATTCAGTTGCTCAAATACAGGATTTTCTAGTCTGTACAAATATTTTAATGATCCAGTACTGAGCTGGTTTGTAAAAAGTTGCAAAATTTGATTTTCATTTCTCACTTTCATGGACAGTAAGGTACTGTGTCTACTGACTCTGATGAAAAATTATTAGAAACGGACTGATTTACATTTCACACATACTATTTACATAGTTTCTTGTAATCGGGTTACGACTACTAGGCTTATCCCTTTGAGGATACATTAACAGAATAATTTTAAAATTAATTAATCCGCATTCTCGAAACATTGTATTTGTGAATACCGTAGGATGCGATCGGCATTTCACGCAAAATATTTGCATAGTTTTGTGAAAATAAGTGCCTCCATCATGTAAATGTTATATCAAAAGGAAACCAAAAAATATTGCAATGAGCAGGGGGAGAGATCAGAACTACAATTGTTTGAAGAAGTGAAGTTTGAACTGCAATTAGCCAGGAACTGAAGGACTGATAGATACAAAATTGTAAGTATTGTTGTTTTTCCCTCACGCTAACAAATGTACGCTACTGTAACTTTTTTCTTATAATTTTTGTAATTTCAGTTGATTAAATACATATATGTGTGTGTGTGCCACCAGATCAGATATAGTGCGAATAAATTCTCATTTCCTAGATTCTCGTGGTTGATCTTCAATTCTGTGTCTCGCGCATAGGCACAGAACATGGATGAAAATTAACATTAAAAAATAACGTTTCAACCACTTGATGGTCATTTTCACTAACATTTTTACTGACTAAAACTCAATAGAGTTTTAGCATATTTACAATTGATTACATAAGCACATGATAAAAATTTTATCCTTCAACTAGAAAATGACGGTTGAGCAGTCAAAACGTACTTGCTTTTTAACCCTTTAACGCTATTGTAACTTTTTTCTCATAATTTTTGTAATTTCAGTTGACTAAATACATATATATGTGTGTGTGTGTGTGTGTGCCACCAGATCAGATATAGTGCGAATAAATTCTCATTTCCTTGATTCTTTTGGTTGATCTTCAATACTACCTGTGTCTCGCGCATAGGCACAGAACATGGATGAAAATTAACATTAAAAAACAACATTTCAACTGCTCGGTGGTCATTTTCACTAACATTTTTACTGACTAAAACTCAATAGAGTTTTAGCATTTTTACGATTGATTACATAAGCGCATGATAAAAATTTTATCCTTCAACTAGAAAATGACAGTTGAGCAGTCAAAACATCCTTGCTTTTTAACCCTTTAACTTTCAAAAGTGATTCACATGTAACTTCTCCCTATATTATTCATGCATTCTCCACCAAACAGGTAACAAGACCACCCAACCTTATCAAGTTGAAGGTATTATCTTGATCTAAAATTCTTGCGACTTATTTGTTTAGCAGCTAGGAGGGAGAATCAACAATCTGACTTTAGGAGTTTAAGGATTAATAAGCATTGAAATCTGGCCTAGTCTCAAAGTCATATGGTGGACAATGTACACTCAATACAAGAATAACATGCCACTCCAGTTACCTCGAATGTAGGGAGAATTAAAGGTTGAGGCAACAATTTTCTGAAGAGCTACCTCTCCTTTACTTTTTGGGTGAACTTAACTTTGGTTGCTCTTTAAATTAAATAATTGAAATATAACAATTTTCACACCACCAAGGATAGCGGCTGTTGTCAAATATTCCCCTCAACTATCTCTTGAGCAATATTCTGCAATATTCACTTCACCAAAGGAAAATAATTCTTCATAGCTTTGAAATTACCCAAAGCTGTTTAGAAGCTGGGCAATAAATGAGTAGGTGCTTCAAGAGGGTCATGTACCCCCTATGAACAACAGGAAATTGCCCAAAGGCTTAAAATTAACTTGTGGGCAGGAAATTTATCGTCAAAATTTACACTATAAGGGATATTGCACGAAAGCGCAAAATCACGGTAAGTATGGTTCTCACTTATTTCGCTGCATGATACAAAACCGAATATCGAGAATCTGACCTCATTTAGCTGTTTTCAAGTGTCAATTTTCTACGAACGTATCTCATTTAATGATGAAGGAGAGTATTAATTTGATGTAAATTGCTGCTCATGATAACAAAACCAGAAGCTTGGCGAAATACTTGAAATAGGAGATGACCCCAGGCAATATTGCCGAGCGAAAGGCAAATTACCACGACACGAACAAGTTTTACCACAAGTAAATGTTATCTTTGAATTAATCAAGGCAGAGCATATTTGCCTGAAATAATCCTTTTAATCAAGGAAGCCTAAGAGGAGGATTTTGAGTTCAGCGTACCTTTTTGGCACTAGTAGTTTAGAGAAACTTGACCCGACAAAGCACTTGATAAAAATAAACGAGAAAAGAACAAGTATTGTCAACACAACATTGTGACATTTTTTTTCTTTTTTTGCCTTAACTGGATTATACTAAGATTTACAAATGCGCGATATCAAAATTGAAGCTGAAATCAAAGTTCACTAATGAAAAAAATTCGGAAACCAAAATATTAGAATACGATTCGAACCCTATCGCAAAAGATTGACACAAAATAGTGGAAGACGGATGATTTGATGTTAACAACAAGGCCTCGTAAAAACCAAACACGGTAATCAATGCGCGTTGTTTCGACTAGTATAATTGGGAACATTACAAGATTCTTCGGTTGCGTCAAAGTGGAGCGTCAGGCGAGCCCTCTCTGAGCAAAAGCTTGAATTTTCCACTACTGAAATTTGCATGCACGCAACCACTGTCAATACCTTTCTGGAACAGACCCAAAGGTGAGTGAAATGCAAGACTCGTTGACTTAATAACGATCTGCATGTTTGCCTAGACAAACTCACCTCTCAAGTAAACAATTCACATTTCCATCAGAAGCACAAAGCACTGAAATAGTAAAGAGCTTCATGCTTCACTCAAGTCAATGTAAAATCGACGATTAGCCGCGACGAAGATCAGTTCCTATTTTAGTTCACGTTGCTGACTGATCAGCGAAGCAGAACCATAGAAGCTTTTAATCTTTAAAGAAGCTAAAAACAAAATCTAACTTCTAAGGTCATCTTCAAAGTTTAATGTTTTACTGAGAGCCATTTCCGTTGCCTTACTTACCTTGTGGAGACATAACAAGCAGGAAAATCAATAAGACGAAGCCATATCCCCCCAAGTTGTCCATGTTTCGTGTTGCATATCTGCAAACAACAAACCCCACTGTCGGTTTTTGTCAATGTGTCCTATTATGGAAATTGACTCAAAGGAAAGCACAGTGATTGGCTGGCGAGGAAGAACAGATGTCACTTTCTTTACAACGTTTGGCGGCTAAATGATTACAGGTCATTCGTGAGCGAAATAAGAGAAAATTGGCGCTATTGTAATAGAACCAATCGTAAATAAGGCTATTTTTTTTCGTCGGGAACAACAAAGGATTTCGTTAAATTAGAGTTAAGATGTCGAGAAAGAATGCTTTTTATCCATCGCGTCCAGGGAAATGAATGACTTCTTACAATGCCGACTCATTAGCATGCAAAGCACAACTTTGCCAAATACTCAAACAAAGGTGGTTTTGAGGCTTTTGTAAGAAATTTCTAGTACCGGTAGCGAAGCGATGCTTTCACAAAATGGTGCGGAATCTGTTTTCCTTTACTTGATATCCGAGAAAGCACTCGCTCTCTGTTTTTCTTTCTTTCCAAACTTCCATTTAGAACAACTTTTGAAATGAGACCTTCGAGGTGCTTCATAATTGATTTAAAAAGCTTTTTTTTTCCAGTCATTTAATGACTTCAGAAGAACAGATGATAATTCTATAATAGCACTGGCTGACTTCCTCGAATTTAATCGTATTGTATTTCTTTCCTTGAGTTGCCACCCACAAACTTTCTGTATTCTGTTTTCCGACTGGAAAGAAAATAAATTAAACTTACTTGTAAAGATGTGGCCCGACATGGCAAGGCTATTTTTAATATGGCAACCCAAATTTAGGGGTAGACGTGAAAATATTTGTTATTTTATCCTGTTTGTTTTAGGAGTGTCTGGGAATGGTTTTGAATCATGGGCCTAAAAGGTGTTGTTATGCCTGTTAAAAGGTAGGCTATTGAATTTATTCAGCTTTCTGGTATACAAGTGTCATATTTTCATGTTTCGTTTCTTTTTCCAATCAATAGCATCCAGAGTTCCTTGCGCCGTTTGCGGGAAGTTCAAATTTCTAAACAACCAATCAGATCATCGGACTTTCGGTTGCAATCTGCAACGTATTGATGGAAGTGTAGATCGAACACAAAATAACGTGTTATTTACCGATCGCCTCTGTTATTTTTTGCTTCAGCTTTATTATTGGTTTTTGCTAGTGACAGTCTGATTTCTACAGTTTGTTTTGGTGAGTATCTTGAGATAATGCGCGCTATAATTCAGCTTAACGGTTTCCATAATCTTCGAAGATGTCTACGTACTTAAAGATACCATTAATTCTTTTTAAACTAAAAGGTAATGTAGAAAAAGTAAGCGTACTGTTTTAGAATCTGTGAAATTCACAAACCTCGTGCGCCGCAGAAGCTTTTCTCTAGGGTCACCTATGCATTCGAAAACTTCGTACTTCAAACAGATCGATGGTTTAGTGGAATTGATTCAGCGAAATTTCTGTTATATGCATATTTTTTCATAATTTTCAATTGAATATTGTAGCGTACTGATATGGCAAGCTTAGCATTTTTAGCATCAGTTATTCTTATAAAATACCTTACCCTGTGACGAAAACAACCAATGCAAATTTTGACTTTTTACCGGTTAAGAACGACCAGAGAAAGAGAATGAATTGACCAGCCTTAACATATATTTTCAAAAGCTTAAAAGGCAAGGTTAAAAACCAATGCGATTGAATTGATTTACCATGAACCTTTAATACTTCTGCAGATATTAAATATTTTTATAACCGCTGGTTCCAGTTCAAGAAGGACTAAAAATGGATCCTACAGAAGTCCAAGTGGTAAGTCAACAACTGTATTGGCTTGTAATCATTTATATAACAGTGCGTGAAGAGGCACTGTAAGTCAGGGTAAAATATCTGGCCTAAGAACACAGCAAAATGAAGTAAGGGAGTTCCAAACCCAGACCCTCTGATTGTCAGATGATAAGCTCCCACTGCTATGCAAGTCAATCTCATAGTGACAAGCATAATTTACCAATACTGATGTACAGAGTAGTTGTTGATAACTAACAATTCAAAAACTTCATTGTGTATACTACTGACAGTATTGTATTTAAAGTTTGATGATAGTAAGGAGAGAAGCTGATGGGGGGAGGGAAGGGTGACCTCGTTTCATGGACAAGGTGCAAAATTTATGTGTCACATGTACTTTAGATAGTATTCAATACATCATATAAACTTCAAATTTCACCTTACCTTGTAGGATGAATAGTAAAATTTACACATTATTAATTTTGGGTTCAACCACTGATCACGTGAAAAAAAACCTTTGACACCCTCAGTAATCTTTTTTTTTCCTTCTAGCGTTCTCCATTATCAACTCAAGATCAAAATATAATGGCTAACAAACAAATTGGCAAACCTCAATTTGTCAGCAAACTGAGGCCTCCATCAGCTGTTAAGAGGCCTCGTGAACAAGCTTTCACTAAAGGAGTACCACCAAACTGTGAAGTATGTATTGATGATAATGATGCTGTGCAACATGAAAATTCTGTAGGTTTTAACTTTTGGGGATTGTTTATGATCTGGGGAAATAAATTACTGTTAGAAAAATCTTGCAATAGAAAATGAAGTGAAAAATGTTCCTTTTTCTGTCCATTTCACAACTCCAGTGAGGTAGGCTGTGGGTGGGGTTAAGCTTTTCGTCATTGTGTCACTTTTTTGTGTAATAAGGCATGAGATTTGCCTCAAACTCACCAAGTACAGTAGAATCCTGCTAACTCAAACTCCTAAGAGATACAAAAAATTGTTCAAGTTAGCAGTGTTTTGAGACAGCTGATAGTGCATGACTAAAAATGAGATCAAGGGAAATCAGATCTTCATTGAGTAACTAGGTGTTTCAGTTAACCAAATTTAAGTTAGCAGGGTTCTACTGTAATAAAAGTTGATACTTTATGAAATTAGGTTCCAAGCATGATTTTAAGTTGTCTTGAACTGCAAAGAGTTCTTCTCAAAGAATGCAAAAAATGATAAAATCTTTTGTAAATTCACTTGCCACAAGTTAATGGGTTTACTTTCAATTCTGAATTTTTACTGAAGACAGGTTGTAGTTTTTTTTTTTTTTTAACTATGATGGGTATCTGCTGGAAAGATAATTCATTGTGATCTTTTTTATATAAATTATCTGTTTACAATTAGAGTGGTTGGTAGTGTAAATCAATTGTGTTTTCATTTCCCAGATATAATTGCTAAACTGAGTTCCATGAGGCAATGATTCTTAACAGAAAAAAAAATTAGTGGCATCAACACACAATTTTGTTTTTAACTCCTTTGTAAAATTTATGATTTGATCACAGCCTGCATCCAAAATGAAGAAATCGTCATCACAAACCTCTTTAAAGTCTGCACCACAGGACAAAACAGTAACAACAAAATCTACAGTTTCGTCAACTTTAAGGAGGCAAACCTCAGCCAGCACTGTAAGACGAGGTACTTCCACTCAGGCACGACCAGCCGCTGCGAATCTTTCTGCTGTTACCAAAAGACAAACAATAGCAACAGCAGCTGCAAATGTAAATAAAAATGCCAGTTCAAAGGGTTCTGCCACAGATTCATTGATGGGAGCAAAAGGTTAGTAAAGAAGAGAAAGATCTTGAAGATGTGCATTCAGATTACAGATGATCACTAGTGATTTGAAAATGGATGTTATAAATTCATAAATCATGCTATTTTTTTCTCCAAAGCGCATCTTTTCCCCAGCTGATTAGAGAGCTAAACTAAACAAAAAACTTAATCAGATTTCAAGGAATGTTTAAAGTAGCCATCAAATTGCAGGAAAATGAAAGACAAAGATGCCTTTGTGCAGCAAGTTTGCAACTTTTGTCCCCAAAATGTTTACTTTTTTTCCAAGAAAATGTATGAGTAGCATCAATTTTCTACAATTTTAGAATAATGGCAATGATGAGATCCTTCAGGCTGAATACCAACATTTTTGGGCTGTTAAATCTTTAGTTACAGTTTTAAAATGAATGCATTCATTAAAAGTGGTCACTGAACTTCTTGTCTGAGAAATTTTGATCTGAAATCAAATAAAATTGCACTACATGCTTGTTTGATTTTTAAATCACACAATATAATTCCAGAGCAAATTGCACACCAGTTGGTTCAATTACCATCATAAATCACACTTTAGAGAGCCAATCAGATTGCAAGGATTACCAGCCATTTCAAATACTTCATATGCAATAAGAGAATTCTGATGTAAATGCCCAAATCACTTTTTTACTTTTTTCTCACTTCCTTTTTATTTTCAGGAAAGAAAAGGCCTGCATGGGACTATAAAGGAAGACTGGAAGATATGGAAGGGTTGATGGCAAAATCCAAGTCCTTCATGGAAAACATGACAAAGACAATTGGAGATAATCAGGATAGGATAGGTTTTCTGGAATCTTTAAACAAACAACTGGAGGGTACTGTGCAAGTTAAACATCAACAAACTGAAGAGGTTAGATCATTTGTATCTTTCCCTCCCTCTGGCTTTCCTTATTTTCTTCTTTGCTTACTTCCTTTCATTAGGCCATGACTCTCTTACTTATTGGCTTTGCCACTCGATTCTTGTTTGCTTGTATGCTTTGTTATCTTCCATCCTTTTGTCATTATTCTTGTCTCCTTCCCTGCCTTTTCTTTCTTGCTTGCCAATGCCTGATTTCTGGCTTCCTTATTTCCCATCAGTCTCCTGAGATGCTATCTTGTTAAACCTTTCCTACACACTTGCATTTTACTTTTCTCTCTGGCTTTAAATACATTTCTCTTTACTCACTTATTTTAATACTAACAATAACTGGGCTGCCCGAGAGGGGAGGGGGGTTGAATATCCAGACTGGGAAATTATCAGAGCAGGGTTTTATCAAAGAAGTGTGATTGAAAACTTAAAGAGAGCCAAAAAAAATGTTTTTTTTTCTTTTCCCTTTTTGAGTTGTTAGCTAGAATTATTGAGTACCACATACAGTACGCATTTCTTAGGTTGAAAACGGAAACAAATACAGGCATTCCTTTATACAGGTATTCCTTTTTTCTGTAACTCTATCTCGCCCAAACGAATAA